TCATAACAAAATTTTTTAAAAAAGTTATATTGTCTCGCTAATTAGTGGGGGTATGGCACCCCCCCATGGCCCCCTTCGTCAGAGGCCCTGTAATACCCCCTGCTTGCAGCAGAGTTATCCAGATTTACCCCCACACCCGTAAGTCTTTGATTGTAAAGAAAGGCAAAGTATTCACACTCTTCATTTCTAGATTTATCCCTCCCCCTTATTTCTGTCGCTGACGCACAAATTAGCAAGTTTAGTTTATTATCTAAACTCTGAAATAATTTCAAATTTGCATAGTGTTCTTGGTTGTTTGAAATATGCTGATTTAAAACAACTGGCAAGGAAAAAGGCAGGGGCAGAACTGATGCTGTTTACTGAAACCTTACTCATTTGAACATATCATAGACTGGTCTAATTTGAGTCATATTTTTGATGTTATTTGTCACTTCCAAAAATGGAAGTGGTACTGTAACATTGACATTACCAGAATTCTGAAAATATGTCTTGTTCATCATAAGAAATCCCTTTGCCTGTCTTAAATAATGACCCCTTAGAATAAAAAAGTTTTTGGTGGGGTTGGATCAACCAAATGTTATTTTTTTTATTCAAAAATGTCTGAATTACGAATTAAAAACTTTTCTTTAACTTGCATGTCACTGAACAGAACAGTGAAAGATTACTTTAGTTATCAAAATGGGAAACTTAAGGGCACTTTAAGGTATTCACAGCTAAGCAAACATTCCCTTTAAATCATGCACATACATCTGCAAAAATGAGAAATGGTCAATCAGATAACTTCAGTGAATGCCATATGTTCTTGATTTATTTGGGAAAGTGAAGGAAAATTCAAGTAATAGAAACATAATTTATTGGTTCTTATGAGGTAACCTATAGCATTTTAAGCACTATCTTTTGACTGCTGAACTTATAAAAATTGCTTACTTAAAGCATGCAGCCTTTCTAAATAACAGAGAGAGTGACAGACTTCCTCTTCTATCTTTCTGCATTAGAATGAAGCCTTCTGTCTTTCATACTTTGAACTGGAGTTACAGTGTTGGTGAACAAATTTATATTAGGGGGAGGGGTGCTGCCCGTAGTGTTACTCCCCATTCAGCAAATAGTTCTAAAGGAAATGTAGTAGAGTATTATTGAAAATACACTACTTGCACAAACTGTAGTTATGGTGCAGTCCATGCTGTAGTTATAAAAGGATGTTATGCAGTGATGAATGATCAATGTTTTATCAAATCATCATCGGAAAAGAATGCATTGAATCAACAAAATCAAAATATACACTGCTGTTGGAAATCCAATTTATTATAAATACTTTGATCTATATATCCTGACAGTTGTGGACATGCACCCAATGGTAACTTTCTAAGTTCATTTGTTTTTTTCATTGATACAGCAAAATATGTTTCTGAAATTGTGCCAAATACCTACTTTGTACTTGGTGCAATTGGCAATCAACTGGGGTTTCCCTTTTATTACAAATAACAACCATTGGGTTCCTTTAGACTACCTAATGGACATACTTTGCATAAAACTAGTAACCAAATTGATGTTTCCTTTAAACAAATTGTAAGAACTTGCCATTGGCATAAGACCTTTGCTTCTTGACATGAGGAGTTTATTTAGAAAAAGACATAAGCAACAATTTTGTGCAACAACTCCAAATAGTCCTGCCCAGTATAAAAAATTTATCAGGTTATTAGCTGTATGTGGGACTCAGGGTCCTTTAAAGCACAAAATTTAAGTTATTTCAATTTCAATCTGGATACCGTGTTCACAAAGATTCTTGCTCCTATGCAATTTGCAGCAAAGCAGTTGTTTCAAACAAATAAAAATAGATAAAGGAGAAGGGGCATTATCATCAGAATTTGAAGTGCGAGATTTCCAAGAAAACAAACGGATTTCCAGGGGCTTTCAAAAACAAAACAATGGGATTTTCAACCAAGGTGCATCCGATTTCCACGGAGTGATTTTTCCTCATGGTAATTTGNGCTGGAATTCATTTTGCCAAAAACAACGCAAAGTCAACCTTGTCAAAACATTAGTACATAGGGCACTTATGATCTGCTCGAAATCTAAACTGCACGCTGAACTGGAAAAACTCAAAACGATCTTCTTGGACAACGGCTATCCTGAAGACGTCATTTTATCTTATACTAAGGTGAAGATCGCAAGTTTTTCGGCTGTTCAAAAGTTTGGTCCGCAAAAGTGCCCAGTTTATTTGAAACTACCATGGATTGGTAACACTTCCTTGCGATTCGAGAGTCAGATTAGGCAAGCCATAACCAATTGTTTCTTTGCTGTCAATCCTCGGATTGTTTACAGCACTAGGAGAGCCCTTCCATCCATTCAAAAGGATTGCGTCCCTACCAACCAAAAAAGTTCCGTCATTTATGAATTTACGTGCCAGTGTGATTCTGGCTACGTAGGGCGCACAACCCAAAGATTGGGGGATAGGATAAAACAGCATGTTCCTTCCAACATACGAAACAAAACTGCCCCTCAAAGAGAACAGCCTCCTCGATCTTGTAGGTCGAGAAACACTGTTAAAACAAGTGATTCTGCCATTGGTCAACATCTTTTGGACAACCCAGATTGTGCAAAACTCTATAATGACGACATGTTTCGGATAATTGGCAGAGCCCGGTCGTCCTTCCATCTAGCAGTTTTGGAGTCAATCTACATAAAAACGAAAAGGCCGCCATTGTGTAGACAAAAGGAGTTCGTTTTCTCTCTTGGACTCCATTGGTAATTTTTCTTTAGGCTCGCGGCACTGATTGGTCAACTATACCGGTCTTGTGCTTGCGTTTTTCTGATTGGCCTATTTCGATCCACAACTGGGTATATATTTTTTCAAACATGTTTTTCGGAACCTATTCTGACGTTTTATGCTCTGAGGAGTGTCAGACGAAAAAGCTTTAAGTATGTTGTAAAATGTTTGCTTTTTTCAAAGCCATTTTTAAATTACTTTAGCGTGTATTAGCATGCGTTGAAATTTCAAGAAAAAAAAAACCAGCGTGAAAGGCGGACACGATGATAAGATCGCAAAAGAATATCTAGTACTCCCTTGTTTTACCTCTTTTTGTTACAAGTTTCTCTTTTTGCTGTAACAGACTTCTTGAGACAAACATTCCATTAGGATCTGAACATTTCCATTTTTCATGAACATTTCTTATGAGCATCAGGATCCCTTTCTAACTTCTTTCCCAAAACTTGCCAAAATTTCCCGTCACTACTTCTGAATACCATTATCACCCAAGCCTAAAATTTCCTTGCTTTCAAACCTCAACAGGATTTGAGGTACGGGAACGTGCTATTATTTAAGGGTACTTTTCTCTGAAAAGTGCGGTATGCGGCATTATCGGCATCAGTTTTTGAAAATTGTGCGGAATTATGGGTACCAATTGAAGAAATATGCAGTATTATAGGCACCATTTTAGAAAAATGTTGCAAAATTATTAAGAGGGAAAATTAGCATGTCCATTTGGAAATGAAAGTGTGAAAAATTTGGAATATTGAGATTTTGGGGAAAAGGATTTTGTTTTGTTTTAAAATATATTCTTTGCCATGCGGAATTATGGGTATAGTTTTCATCATGTTTACAGCATTATGGGTAACATTTTTTCAAACAAGTGCGGAATTATGGGTCAAAATTTTGAACCAAAACGGCACGTCTCCGTCTGTCCAAAACTAGGCTCAGTTACAAAATAAATAAGGCGCTTTTTTGGAAAGCCAAATTTTTATCTATCTAGCTTCACTACAATTCATTTTCATGTAATTGTCCAACCTTGAGGGCCCTTGAGTATATTGCCCACACTCACAGTAACTTTATCAAACAATTCCAAATTCTTACTTCAATCTCCACACACTTTGTGCTCTCTAGTCCTATTTGTTTCGTGTACTAATCTCAAATGCAAGAATTGGGATTATTGATTGTTTGCCATGCAGCAGTATTTTGTACCGCGTGGAACAAGGGATACATGCCACCCTAACTATTAAAGAAATAGTCCTTTGCTAGCTGTTCCCCACCAAACCTTTTAATTGTATTAGGCGCCCTTGAATTAAAAAAAACGTTTAAGAAAATGCCCGAGAATAACAGATCTAGAACAGATCCACACAGCTTCATTTTTATTTGGTAATTGGGAAATATATCGTAGAAATGTGCAGTTACTATCTTAAAGGCAGTATGTCCCCCATTGTTCTCAGAATCTCTGAAATATCCGCTGAGTTTTCTAAAAACTCGTTCTCCCAGAACTGCATTTCTTTGTCCTACTTTCCTGTCCAAGCATAGGTTACTAATAATGCACTTTTACGTAATATGGGTGTGTACAAAAATCATTGACATTATCCGGAAACTTGGTTTATGTAAACAGCGCAGAGACGGAACGAGCAACAATTAAGCAACAAGACGATTTTCTGAGAGAGCATTGATTTATTGTATCACTGCTAAAACCAAGCTGAATCAGAGCTGAAACTGGAAGAAGTTCCGTTGAAACGAGCTGAAAGGATGCTGAAAACAAATCGTCTGTCCTGCTGACACGCACTGAAACGGCCTGTTGTTAAAATAAGGACCAAAGAATAGGCCCTATAATGCTTCAGTTCTATTTCTCTTTCGTACTTAACCACAAAGAAATCCTACTTCCCATCCATGGGTCTGTGGTCCACTTTTTACCATATTCCGCTTAAACAATAATTGTGGTTTTGCTGTCAGCTGAGGAGCTTTTTCGCTTTCTGCTAGCTGTTCGACCAAAATATAACATAATCCTCATTTTTATGTTTATTTACAGTAGAAGGAACAACTAATTGTAATAAATTTACATCTGATCATCTCACCACTACGAATGCCGGTCCTAGGAACCCCAGGTTATTATATTCCGACAGAACTAAATATTATGGAGCTTTTATTAAACACTGCGGTGTGCATTCTTCTATTCTAGAGTTTTCATAAAAAATTTCTTTATGTAAAGGATGATATTAATTGATTTTCTTTCATTCTATAGTAGAAAAAACTTGGCGATAAAAGCATCGGATATCTTCTCGGAATCTGTAAATGTGGTACAATGGAGGACGATAAAAACTGGATGAAGTCTTTCAAACTTAGTAAAGATTTTGATTATATAACAGATGAATCTTCAACAAGAAAGACAGAATTTGAAGAGATGGTTATGTTCCCCGTCACAGGTATGAATCATAACCCGGAAAATACGACACTTATTAAACAAGAGTTCACCCCCGGTTGCGGCCACAACCGGGACAAAAATAGAGGTCGGGTTGACAAAAGCATTGACGTAACAACGATATTAGATGACCTCTTACAGCGAAATAAGAGGGGTGTTTATCCATGGCCATGTCAGTATTCGAAACCAGCTGGAAACAGCGACACTGTAGAGAGTTTTTCTAATATTCAAGTCAGCAAAGCCAACGCTTGGGAAATGGTGGCATTTGATCTTTCACTCGATGCCAATGAAAAAAATCAATTTCTTGGCTCTGGTACTGGCATTGCAGCAAGAAAAGAGGAGTTGTTTGCTTCATTGCAAAACAGGGGCGACGTATTAGTGAACTGTGCCCGCAGCATGCAGGCGGAGCAGCCCTGTGACAATTTCAGCAAAACAAGCAAAAATGGTAAGAAAGTAGACGGAGCCTTATTGCAAACAGACAAAGACATCGTATTCGAAGAGGGTCTTGATTTTGCAGAGGCGGAACAATGGATGACGGACATATCTGAAATTTTAAAAGCCCCCGAAATCGACATGGATTATACTGAAACAAAGTTAATCGCAACAAACATCGAGGGTGAAGACACAATTGTGGAATCACACACAGGACTGGGTTTGAATGATAAACAGGCAAAATCTCTAATAGGAACAAGAGAAGTAAATTTACTTGTCGAGGCTTTGCAGACCAGATCATTCACACCGATTTTGTATCTCCTTTCGTCAGTACTGGGCAATAATGGCGACATTGAGTGCCTGCTTGGGGAAACACCCGATTCTCGTACAATAACTAATGGCTGGAATGGCAGGGCATGTCCTGATGTACCATCTCACTTTTCAATTCTAGAACATAGGGTCCCAATCTTGTCCCAACAAACATCAGTTGACTCCGATACGACTTCCACTTGGCCCGACAGTCACACGCGACAATCATGGTCGGATTGCTCTACGGACAATGAAGAATTTTTTACCGATAGCCGGCCGAAATTTAATTCAAAGTCAACGGCGAAAATGCAGCCTTTTGGCAATCTCGACAGCACAGCAAATCATGTAGCAAGTAATAATTACGACATGGGTTTCATGAGTGTAATTGATGATATGATGCAACCAAACGCGAAATGCGATTTGCAGACGTTCAAGAATCTGCTAGAACAAGATAGGCCCGACGAAAGTGAAACAGCAACTGAGAAAAAAAGACCAAGGGTGTGGAAGTCTATCGGCACAGGCACAGATTCTTTAAACTATGACAGAGACGTAGAAGGTTGGTGAAATTTTTTGTCAAAGAATGTTTCAGGCATTAATTCGTTCATTTTAAAAGATTTTTCACAACGTAATGCAAAATTTTACATTATTCATTCATTTTCAACCTTTGAAAATTCTTAAGAGATCGTCAAGTCGGCTATGACGTCACAAGGGTAGTGATATATCTGACTTGAAAACCGCGCTTTTGATATATTCTCGCGAAGATGAACCTTCAACAGAAATAAAACACCAAAAAATTGAATTTCGGAAAGTAACTGAACAAAATATTACAAAGTCCGGCGTTTGATAACGAGAACAGGGAAAAAGAACAGGGATGTGTTTTAGTGACGTCAAAGATGGTTCCCGCTTGCGGTTAACTCCTTAGCTTTGTTGTAACGGTTTCATCGTTGTTTACGTCAAAGCATCCTAGCCCTCAATTAGAAAGGATTACACCGGTCTACGATGAGAGAAACCGCCGTTAGAGGATAGGAGGGGGATTACCCAGGTTAAAAATTCTCTGGGTCAGCATTTGCTGAACCTCCAAGCTATTTCCCAGATGGTAACACCTTTTGTTTCTTTTTTTTGCAAAGTGCTTTTAATGGCATCTCTCTAGAAAGGGGGTGCCAGGCTTTCCACTGTGGAAAAGTACAATGCCTGCCAAAAGTACTTGGAACACCCACCAATTTACGCTGCATTTGATATCTTTCATTCCTTTCATGAAAAAAATTTGCTACTTCCGCCCCCTTCCCCCTCAAACAATGTTGATGATTTAGAGAAATATCATAAAAGAAGCGCAAAAGAAAGTGCTTCCTAAAATCCTAGTCCGTTTGATAGTAAACCAACATTGTTCCGTGGGGGAGAGGGGGATGATTGGTTTTGACCTTGGAAATTGATGTCAGTGTTCCAAGACTTTTGGCAGGCATTGTACGTTTTCGACTGCAGATTAGATGGTCAAACTTAAACTTCTGTATATTTAACATGATATGAACTTGAGCAATTTGGATGGTAAAAACAAAGATATAACAAAGCAATGATGAGGCATTGCTCTTGTCATCCAAAATAATGCGTATAGTATGCACGGATGGTTTTCCAAGGATATTCGGATTTTATAACCTTTGCACCATAAAATTTTTATATCATGTAACTGTGGATAGGTGTTAGATAGTTTAGAAAAAGGTAAATAAATGTATGTGCAAACTCCTGAAAATGAACAAGAAAGAGTTGAACAAAAGCAAATTTTCTGTTAATTTTATAGATTATTCGATAATTGACTGGTTCCTCTTTTCCAGGTGCAAACGAGCCAGACAATGCCCCAAAAAGAGAAATAAAATCGGCAAATCATAGACCGGGACGTGAGTACCTTTTTAGTTCAACAATCAAGCATAATCGATTTTCTATTTAAGAATTACGAGATAAAATAAAATTACATTAACTTTCCATTCGAACAGACTTGCAGAACAACATGAATCTCTTTATTTACTCTTGAAAAGTTTATCAGATCTTGCTCCTTTTTGGTATGCATTTTCTCCAAGGTGTAGGTACTCGGTCCTCGAAATGGACCCCTTTTTTTACCGACCTGTTTGGATCCGATCCCAACCGTTTACACGAGACCTTTTTGGGGATCGGATCCGCCAGCTCCCGTGTAAACGCAAAGCCTATCCGTACCACATTGGGTACGGATCCATTTGGATCCGATACCGTGTAAACAGGCCCTTACCCTTAAAAGCAATCCACTACTGCTGTAATGATGATTCCTGTTAGCACGTTTTTTATCATATCTGTCACAGTTTCTGCTACGATCATCCCAGAATATTATTTTGAGGCACAGTATGCAAAGAACCTTGAGAATGCCCAGTGCCACTCCTCCCAACAAGGGGGTTCCTTTGTCACTGCTACTTAACTTCACCCTTTTTACTTCTTCTGTCTAAAATTCGGTGGCTAATAGTCTACTTTGCTTTCGTTTTCAGCCAACAAGTGTTACCATTTGTGGGATTTTCTACGAGAGTTATTGGACAGTGATCAGTCACCGGGCCTCGACGTAGTGGAGTGGATCGATAAAGAGAAAAGGGAGTTCAGACTAAAAGACACAAAGCAGCTGGCAGAACTGTGGGGGAAGAAAAAGAAGCTATCAAATATGAATTACGACAAACTTTCCCGCTCCTTGCGATATTACATAAAGCTGGACATACTTAGAAAAGTGCCAGGCAAACGCCTGTATTTCAGATTCGGGAAAGGCAGGATGTGGAGAAAAATGAACAAGTGAACGTTGTTCTGTTACTGACAATCATGCTTCGCCGCCATCAAAAAGTCTACAATGCATTTTTATAGACTTTATATACCATGTAGAAGTCTTGTAGATTAGGACACTGCAGCCGCCGTCGAGCTTCCCTCAGCGGGAAATGGTTGCAAAGAACAGAGTGGTTTTGCGAGCAATGTTACCAAGAACCAGTTTCTAGAGTCATCACTTACTACTGTATTTCATAGCAATTAGAGACAAGCACAATCAGTATTCCTTACTAACGGGGGAGAAAGGATATTGACAAATAAGTCTGCCAACACACGAAGATGAAGTTAAATTCTTTACCTGTGCTGACGAGTTACAGATAAATAATTAACCCTAGTTTGTAAACATGTTGAAAGCTGGCTATTTAATAAATCTAGAACGTACGTACTACTTTACCCGAATGCCCCTCCTCCTAGCCTGCGTGCAAACTCTGAAATTGAAAAGGGGAAAAAAGTAATTTTCTCCTCTTTTCAATTTGTCAACAGAGTCTGCACGCAGGCTACCTCCTCCAGGCTTACGAATGCATGCTTTTGTGGAAATCAAACCCCGTTCTCTGAGCGCAAGTACTTACTTTATAGAGGCCTGCGTAAATTTTTAGACTTAGAAGTTGTATATATATAAGTGCGTATTATACATGCAAACTCCGATCAGAGATTTATTGTAAATCTACTGGACCAATGCCTGTCTACGACATACTTAGCTCAACAGTGGGGGACTTGGAGCACCCATATGGTGTAAGCAACAAAAAAGCAAAACCTCGTAGAGTGTTGTCGTAGTGTGGGTCCGTCAGAGGACAGTAAATGTCAGAATTGGAGTTTGATGTAAAGAAGGATTCTAGAAGGAAGGGTATTTTTAAAAATATTGTCCTTTCATGGAATTTTAGAACATTAGAATTAGATTGATATAATGTATGAAGTTACCGAAAAAGTTTTTGAAACAAAATATGTAGACATAATTTTTTGTACTGTTTAAAATAAATACTGTATTTTATGATGCAAATAATATTTGCTACAAATTTGTAAATAGAGGATAAAGAAATTGTCTTATTATCAAATTGATATTTTCCTGAGATTTACTGAAGTAGTAAGGATACGGTACAAAAAAGCCATGTTTGATCAACTTTTCTTCATTCGTGCAGAGTTTGAATAAGAATGGACTAGATATTCTCTCAAATGGAAGTAGAAATTATTTACATTTCGCTGGGTTCGACATTTCCAACAAATTAACTTCTAGGTACAAACATGGCAATTTCAACGGTATTTGAAGGGCATGATGCCTTTTGTACATCCTCGACATTTGTGCTGAGTTATAAAACCCACCACTTGAAATATTTCAATTCAGCCCACGTCGATTTCAGTGCACTTCAGTAAGATCTGCACACAGGTAACAAATATTACACACATCCTCCAGAAAATAAACTATCAGATTTGGAGTTAATGTTCTAAATTCGATTGTTGCGAAAACACTTGCGTACAGGACTTCACTATTGCAAGACAAAAAATTAACTAGATAGGTTCAAAATTTGTAACAAACACTCGGCTAAAAAGAGGAAAACATGTTCCACCTGCCAGTCTTTTAAAATTAGTTACAAAACGAGGCACAGAACCATTTTATGCTGTCAATCATCAATGCAGATGTAATTCATAAACGGAGGGAAAAACTTGGAGCACATTTGACATTTGATTTGACAATGAATATAGTTAAGATTAAGTTAAACCACAATTTAGAGTAATTTAAAGCAAATTAACTATATATATCTTCTAGCACCCTGCCCGTCTGCAGTCACTACCATACATAGTTATCAAACACATACTTGACACGTGGCTATATCATTCTGCTTCACTGAAATTGCAATATTTTCAATCTTCACATGAGTTTCATATGAAGAATAGTCGCGGAATTTTCATGATGACAAAAACTGGTACAGTTCTAATCAATCTCGCATTGAAAGGGATGCCCAAATAAACAACCTATCTGAACACAGTCACTTTTCAATGACGGGTCAGAAATTGGGCGGTTGCAAAGTGGGTGGACCAACGACCTCGTACCCCTTTCTGTCTGGCAGTCACTTAATTTCAAGACCCGATAAATTTTCAGCCCTCTGACATCTTACAGAAGGCATTAGAAGGCTTGTTATTGCTTTCCAGTTCAAATTCTATCTTGGGTTAGGGATATTATATATTGTACGAGAAATAACTATGATATTTGGTCTTTTAAAAGAAATTGTATAATTTTTAGCAGCTATGATTCCATTGTAAAAGCACCCCATTTTTAAAAACTAGTTCCTAGGACTGGAAAAGTTTTATACTCCTTTTTTGGACATACCTCATAAAGTATAGAAACTAAAAGACGGCACTCACCGGGGTTAAAAAGCACTGCCCTTGCAAGACGTGCTACGGAAAATGTGGCATAAAAGGTTTTCTTCTACACGAGGTTAGTAGTAATTAAAGACCCTATGAAGACAATACTAGATAGGATTTTACCTATATGTCTAATGTAATACTTTATTTACAACGCAACATAAAAAAAGAATAGAATTTTAGTTAAAAACCTCAATACAACCTTTGTCTTTCTGAACTTGAAAATAAATATCTTTCAGCTCGCTATCGTATATGCGAGAACAGATTCAACTCAGATTTGCTCTCCTAGAGAAAAATTATGATAGAAGTACTCGCCTTATGAAATATTGGGTATCAGAAGCAAATCAAAACAAAATAGTTAAATTGACTCTAAAAGGGTTGTAATAGAAAAATAAATAGATGTGAAGAGCGTAAATAATCAAAGGGCACACAGGGACACAAACACATACGGACACACACACACAGGGAGACAGGCACCCAAGGACATAGGCACTCGGGGCACACAGGGAAACAGGCACAATGGGGCACAAAGATACAGGCACAAAGATACAGGCATACAGACACAGGAACACAAACACACTGGGAAATTGGGACATAGGCACACCAGAACACAGGCACACAGGGAAACAGGCACACAGGGGCAAAAAGATACAGGCATGCAGACACAGGGCCACATAAATGCAAGCACACAGGGCACAGACACGAAAGACCAAGGACATAAACACATGTTTCTCCGCCACTTAATACAAGAATTCTCTTAGATTTGGTATGATAGGATGCGGAATTTCGTTCTAAAAGACAAACATATTTTATACTGAAAAGGAAGACCAGGACTGATAAAGAGCACACACCAAATTGTGTTTTTAAGCGTTGATGCCACAAGAAAATTATCTTTAGAACTTTTCAATCTCACAAAATTATTAAAAGAGCCCAAATAACAGCTTTTTTTGATGGTGAAAATGCTTGTGCTTATGTGGTCATATCTCAGCCCATTCTTAACCCATTTTACTGATTTTGCACATATAGAGGCACTTCATGAAGCTATGGGATTAAAATTCAAAAATCTAAAAATAGATTTTTGTGACGTCATCACTTAAGAACTCATTGCAGGCACGAAAAACGTAGTAGGAATCAAGCTAGGACATGATTTAGAGAAGGCAAGCAAAAAAGGGTACACAGCGTGTAGAAATGATTGACCAATGCAGAATCAAATACGACACAGGGCAAATCAAGCCCAGCTGGTCGTCCCATGCCTTATTGAGTCGACATAATGAATTAAAAATCACCTTTTGTGTGTGGGCCTTGCTAAACACGTTCCAAAAGCGCAGTGTTTCGTCGCCTGCTCCAGTCACTATTGACTCTCCATCAGGAGACATCGCCTGATACAAAAAATGAGAAAGTAAATCATTTTCAGGGTAAATCCAAGGGCACCATCCTTCTGCAATTTGCCGAGTTCCATAACTTGTTTCTTGCTCTTGGAAGTTTTATGCATTTTCATGCTTTTCGAGAAAAATATAACAGGTCCAGTCTCGACAGCGACTTTGATCAGATGTTATTAGGCACTGATTGGCCAATAAAAAACCAACCAGGTGTTAGCTCTTTTCTACTTGCTATTTCCACGTAAACAAACACACATTGCTGGCTTACACTTGTTACCTTCAAGTCACGATCTAACGTCCTTGCAATGGTTAGAGGACAGAACTAGATTATATTCATGTGCATAAAATCGAAGGAGTTTCTCGCAAAATTCCGCAAAACGTGCATATTTGACAAGGAAATTCAGCCTAAGAACCATATGGATCGCTTAATATTTTGTTTGTTTTCAACTGTACAAGTGTTGAATGCATATGATCTATTCAAAAAGAGTTGGGATACTGCCTTGGGTTTGCTGAAGCCATTCAAACCCAAACACAGCTACGCCATACTTTCATTGCGCATTGCAATAGTTCTTACAAGTAGGTTCAAATGCCTAACATCATTTATTCCCAATCTTCAATGCTATTTTCCTCTTACTTAGGGCTCATTTGCCCAGTGCTGGAGGCTTATTAAAGATTTCTTGGTCAATACTAGTTAGCACCGTCGAAAGCGGCCTTCGAAAAGTTCTTCCGAAAATATTGTCTAATCGGGAAGTGGTAGAGTTAAACCGAATCAATATTGGGTTGACTGCCCTAGATTGTCTGCCACAACACCAATCTGTTTTTATGATGAGTCGGATGGGTGTCGTAGCCAACTCTAGACTTCTGCTGACACACATACAACCTTATGGAAATGTTTTTAATTTAAAAGCAATCAAATATAAGGCTCGCTTCTAATATTCCAAGTTTCGAAATATCATGTTTACTGGCCGTGAGCATTGTTCTTAAAAAAGGTCATCCCACAACAACAGCAATTTAAGTAAAACTGAGCCTGGTAAGATTTAGTTGTTTGGATATGATAATTTCTCCAATCCATGTCTAACAATATGGATACAGGTTCAAGAAAAGAAATAAAGCGGTGATCAGGCTACAGAAGGTGAGCAGACCATGAAGAACAAAATAAATTTAAGTACCCCAGCACCCCCGGCACCCCGCCAAATCCCCGCCTTGATTTTCTGTGCTTGCCTTCAAAATTTGAGAGGATGATCCAGTGCAAGCGAGAGCATTTTTAAACTTTCCAGGAGTGATTTACTGAATAAGCTTAAAGAAATCTTGCCACTCTCAGATTTTTACCCGTGATAGAATGTTAGAATGTATGGAGAATGTGATGATAGCAAATTATGGATGCTGACAATGTTCGCTCTCATGTTAAGGGCCGTGCGACAACATACCAAGTAGAGGACCCTGCATGTGTGACCAGTTAATTTTGCAACCTGCTGCAGGCTTGGGTACTTCCAGACAAGAATTTGATTCTGCGAATAGCCATGTGTGCTAACCTAAAATCAAAATCCGTTTGTTTTAAAAACAACTCACAGTTTATAGGTCATGGTTTTGTAATGATTGTGTCCATGATTACATTGTTCGTCAAAATGATGATTATGACATAGATAATGATTGGATTATTGATTTTGATAATGATATTGTGATTGGATGATTGACAAATGATAGTAACGACGCGATTGGATGATTGATGATGCTGAAGCTTATGATTTGATAGAATGATTGATGATGCTGAAGCTTATGATTTGATTGAATGATTGATGATGCTGAAGCTTATGATGTGATTGAATGATTGATGATGCTGAAGTTTATGATTTGATTGAATGATTGATGATGCTGAAGCTTATGATGTGATTGAATGATTGATGATGCTGAAGCTTATGATTTGATTGAATGATTGATGATGCTGAAGCTTATGATTTGATAGAATGATTGATGATGCTGAAGCTTATGATTTGATTGAATGATTGATTATGCTGAAGCTTATGATGTGATTGAATGATTGATGATGCTGAAGCTTATGATTTGATAGAATGATTGATGATGCTGAAGCTTATGATTTGATTGAATGATTGATTATGCTGAAGCTTATGATGTGATTGAATGATTGATGATGCTGAAGCTTATGATGTGATTGGATGATTGATGATGGTATGCTGATGATGATAATGACTCGATGCTCGTTGAGTTTCTTGTATCAACTACTTTGCAATCCACAATTGAGTGTTTCACTATATTAAATCAAATTATCGGTTTTTTTAAAATTCATTCATATTCTTGACTGTAATTTTGGCCTACAGTTTTTTCATGTCATGTGCTTCAACACTCAAAAACAAAGTGAATGGCTCTATATCAACATCCTTTTGAAAACAATGACAAAGATGCATCTTTGATTGTGCAAATCCATGGCCAGACTTAACTTCATACGAAGGATCATAGTGGAAGGATCAAGTGCTCTATACCAAAGAAAAAATGTCTTCACTTACCAGCTCATTCGAATGTTTCGACCATGCCAAATTGCAGACCTGAAAATTTTCTCGATTGAATAAAACTTCGAAAAATCTTTACGAAAAAAATCGGCCTATATTCTACATACCTAAACACCTCAACTGTAAATTTATCGATGGACACAATTTCAAATGCTATGAAACTTTGATTGATTCTGATTGTATCACCAAAAATCTACCTGTTCGTTGATCATAACAACAAATAAGGAAAAGCTCACAAAAACAATTTTTCCAAAGCAACCTTCGATGAAAACCCGTTGTTAGGCCAACGACATTGCACATCAAAACTTTAAAGCAATTCATAACCTTTAATTGAAATGACTCAAGATGACTAAAAATAACAAAGTTTCCGTACTTGTGACCCTGTGTCAATGCAGTGTAGATTTTGTCCTGTTAACGTATTCCAGAATCGTATACAACGGTCCACGGTCCCACCACCAGATGCAAGGAGACCATGCTGCAAATTAAAACCGTTTTAGTTTCTATGGCCCTGAAAAAATAAAATAGGAAAATAGCCCCCCTTGCAATACATGAGAGTTTGTTTCTCTGGCCCTGAAGAAAATAAAATGGGAAACCAAAAGGATGGTAGTGCTTTATAACCGGCTGTACAAGTTATTAGGAGATTAGGTTTTCCCAACGTTCTCATTTTGTCAGTCATAAAGAAACTTTAGGAAGGAACTGTTGGACCTTATCTATTTTGCCAAGAGGGGCCGTTGCTATATTCCATGCACAAACATTCAACAAGTTAAAAAAATAATTTAAATTCAGTGTAAAGTTGACCAAAGTTCAGTTCATGCCAAAACTGTGAACCCCTCCCCCTCTTCTCGAAGAAGAACACAAGAATTAAAGAACCTACAGTTGTTCTTTGTTTAAGCATTTATGATCTAACAACTTTTTTGGTTGAGAAATAAACAAGACTCTAAAGATAACACGTTTATTTTCTATTGAAATATTGTATGTTAACTAAGGATCATATTTTTGATCGCCGAAATTGTCACTTCCTATATAGATAGCTCAGTAGCATCGCCTGAAAATCAAAGGAATGTTCAGTGTGCTCTTTGCACTGTTAGCTTCCCCTCGGTTTTAGAACATTTTCTCTCTCCCTCAATAATAGAACAAAGACACGTTTATAAAAAAATATATTAAGCTCATTTGAAAAGCTGGCATTTTCAGAACTTCGTGTCAAAATAGGCCATTTCATTTATGCTATACAAGGACAACGATCAGCAAAGCAAAAAACAAAAAATACAACGTGAAAAAGCAACTAATAAGAAATCAACAAATTTGTCACCAGTATATGTCAATACCTTCAATAGATTACCTTGTTCCTTTTCGAAAGTCTGGCACTTAAAACCACATTTTCAAGCTTACTACTAACAAACTTCTTGCCTTAAGCAAGTCTATGTTGCAAAAGACAGTCCATTTGCAGGATAGCAAAACACTTTATACGTGCCTTGGTACACAAAATCAAATAAGAGGTAGCTACACAAAAGACATTAAAACCAACCAATTCATTTGAACACCAAGCTTCTCATTCATCTTAATTAAAGATTTCTCCCATAAAGAAAGGATGAAATATGACACAGAAGGGACATTGCACATCTTATGTCTACATACCTGATGTGGAGACCAAGAAATCGCCTTCACAGCGGCAACATGATCATTGTATTGCTGATAAGGTGAGGTACTGGAGAGATTCCAAACCATGAGCTGGCAGAGAAAATGAAATGATATGAAACAACAGTTCCTGGTAAAGAGTGCCAAGCCTGCACGATTAAACCATAGCGCTGCGTCAAAGCCATAAGTGACAACAGTCATAATGACTGTTCTTTACTTGTTTTTTTGTCGTACCCTAAAGACTTCACGAGAAAACGGCATAAAACTGCAGGTAAAAACAAATGAGGAGAAAATTTAGCGTAAACATTCTGAAAATCAATAAAAGACATGAATTTTCGGGGCTCCTTTTTAACAAATTAAAGCACATTTTGGTTTGTATCGTGCAAAAGCATGGAAGAATAGAGTTTTGAACGAAGAGACCTATTCATCTTTCTAATTCTAGTTAATCTATGATGATTGAATTATTAAGTTACCGATCTCGTAGGCAGTAAATAAAGTCCAAGTAACGTAGAGACAAAAATTCGAGGGAAGCTAAAAACAGGAAACTAGACTACAATGCTGTCAAATTGAAAACAAGGAAGTTATGATCAAACAACAAACCTTGTTGTCATTACCACCAGAGGCCAGCAACTGACGATCAGGTGACCACCGAAGACCACAAACCTTGAAAAATCATAAAAACGCTATTTTTATCAAGCCATTAAAAAGCTAGCCTACGTACAGACACTTGTTTAAAGGAACAATTTTACAAGAACACGAGCCTCCAAACTGGTCAAAAGTTAAGAACTAAGAACAAGCTGAGCTACTTAAAAGTGAAATTTTGAAGAAATATTTGTTTGCATACGTTTTTAAATTTGGATACGATAACAATGAGAGAAAAGCTGTAATGTGACACCCCTTCGAAAGTAATTCCGTTTCAAACATTAGGAGCTTTTGCCATCTAGGGGCGCACTGTCGGCAAATCTTGAAAGATTTTAGTAAATAAACGATGGCTCACCAATTTTGTCGCCAACTGGAGTCTGAACACGCTAATACAGCCCTGTCACACCCTAATACTTAAGAGCAATTAAAAACAGTCCAGCCTCAAAGTTTTGGAAAATTAAGAGCCAGTATGGTAATTAACTTACAAGTTCTTATAAAAAAGGGTGTATATCATGATATTTTATGTAAAAAGAGAATGCGTACCACGACATTTCATAAAATAACATACATTAATGAGACACTGGTGGCTTCATAATGGTATGTGGATTAACACAGGCCAGCCTTGATATCACAGGTAGCTATGTTATCCTTAAGTCACGAATTGCGTTACACAGTTGCAGGGTAGCTCCCAGCAAGGTGTAATAAAAAAGCACCAACAGTTCTTTAAAAGTGCATCATTTCTTGCAAAAGCAGCTTCAGAATAACAAAGCATTGCCTACATAACAGGCTAGAGATTTGTAAAAATCATTACAGATTCTTAAAACAGTTTGAAAATAATACGGCTGCCAAGATTTTATAAAGCTTATACACAACGTTCCTCATAATCAAGGAAAGTGTAGTAACCATTGTCGAATGTAATCACGTATTCCATTGTATCATTGTCATCAACACCTTTCATTGTCTACGTATCCACAGCAACGTAATCAACAACACTTTCGTAGCGTCCCCTCGTTTTATGAGTACACGCCCCTGTATTGTAATTTAATTTAGTTCAGTTAGGATCAAGATTCGAGACACGCAATATTCTTCTCTGGCTCCTTGTTCTCTGGACGTAAAATAAGACATAACACTGGTTGGAAATGACACGTTCACTAAAAAAGTACTACATTGAAGAAACAGTCACCTCTTGACGATGGCCGATCAGTTTCTTTTCTGAAGGAGATGAGGATCTAAACAGAAATAAAAATTTGGATAAAATATATTCAAGACAAGATCTAGGCTATGTTGGTATTTCATGTACACACTATGCATACACTTTACTTCTGTATTCCTCAGTTTTTTCTTTGCTCGTTCTAATATTAATGTTCTACAAATCCTAATAATTTAGAAACTTTTGAGCGCAGAAAGTATAAGGGCTTTGTTTTTCTAGTATTTCTGCCAACCTTAATTGATTAAACGTGTTCATTAAGATGTTAATATTTCGGAGAAATATGATTAACTAACTATTGGGCCTAAAATAGCCGAACTAAAGTAATTAGTCCAGGAACATACAAAACAACACCACAGGGTTAACGAAGACGAACCTTATGTCCCTGAGGAAGATGACACGATCACGGCTCCCTGAACAAAGCAGGTCGTTGTTCCAAGCCAAAGAGCCTAGTGGAAGGTACGAAATAGCAAGATCACATCAAAATAATCTCGATAAAAATGGAGCATAGCTAGTTTACGTGTGCGATTCAGATCTGATTAATACGTTGAACTGCATAATGAAGCATTGCATGTATACTATTTACAACCTAAATGAAAAGGCACTGAATTCTACCGTTTGAAACACTTAAAGGGTTTTTAAACGTGCAATTATTGCAAATATGCATCATGAGTACGGGAACCCATTGTTAAGAGGAAATATCTTCTTTTGAGATATTAAGTATAAACGTAAAGGTAGCTATCAAGTACTAGATTCTGTTGTAGGAATATTAACGTAAATGGACTGTTATGGTGAGCTGCAAGAAGTGTACTGTTTATTTAGATGTTCTCTGTACAGATGCCAACTAGAGCTATAATCACAGTGTAGCGTGGTTATGAATAAACCATTGTTACGATCACTGTGATAAATGTGATTACTGTGATTATTGCAAACCATTTACCTCCATCAAGTAAAATGGGTCATAGAGCATCAGCACAAGGAAGGCCATACAAAACGATACACTGTATTACATACACAACTATCTGGTTTCCCAGTCCAGAGTATTTAACAGATAGAACAATTGACGACCATAATGCGATATAACAGCGAAGAAGAAACGTTCGTTTGTTCAAAATATTTACAAAGCTAATGGAAATTAACTAAATATGCTACACAAAGTTGACATTTTTAACCACAATCTGATTTTTTCTGTTTTTATAATCCATAGTCACCAATTTGTGACGTCAGATTTTGGAAACACTTACCAACTCTCAGCAGATGACCTTCAAGCGACGAAACCTTTTTCGTGCTCTGGGTATCCCAGATTTGAACATAACCTTTGTTTGTTCCAACTGATAGATGGCTTCCCTAATATTTGAAAACAGGCTATAGTGTTACGGTCTTCACAAGTTAGTGTGCAGGTAGAGAACATATATACAAAATGTCATGCAAATGGCAGGATAAATTAAAGGTGAGTAACTATATGGAAGAAAGCGAAATCCTGGGGGTGATGCTTGCTAAGATCTTTTCGAAGTTTATTTTTTTATAATTCTCATATACACACCCTGGTAGCTTCCTTTACAGTCTTACAAACCCGCTTCATGGAAGTTTTCTTATATGTTTCAAAACATACTTATCAGCTTTGCGAAAACCGATCGTTATCGTGACATTCTATTTGAATAGAGGTTGTGGAAACTCACAGAATAAAAAATTGACAAGTTTCTTATCTAGTCGGTGTATTTGTTTCTACATAGCATCGATGTAGTTTTAGCACACTGAGAACCTATGCTAATCGTGTAGTGTCCTTTTACTTCCTCTTGATGTGACCATAACTCGTGATTCCTACGCCTGCAATTGCAACGAGCTGGCGATTTTTTTAACTCTGGGTGGAAGTTGGGTCATATCGGAGACTCGAACCCAGACCCCTGGATCTGCAGTCAGCGCCTCTAACCGCTGAGCCATCCTCGATCCTAGTCACCTTATCTAGTATGTTTTGATCCTTATGTGACTTAAAATTTCCAGCTAAGGTGGCATATTATGGAGAAAATACTTCGAAACAACATAGCCAATTTAACATCTTTTTAGGTTTTGTAGAATATTTGGTACCAGAGGTGAACTATGATAACATTTTGTAATTCGTACAATACTTCCTGGGCTGTTGAGAAAATCTGAATTCTCACTTTTGGCTCAAGAAAGAAAGAAGACAAAATATACGATCAAGGTTTTGTCTAACGCTTTAAGCTAAATTATATTTCGTTACAATATGATTGACTTGGTACACACAGCAACATGCAGTAAAAATTTTCAGGCTCCATAAACAATTAGCATCTGTTAGATTTAAGATATGCTACAAGCAAACCCTTCATAGCTATTATCCTAGACATACAGAACTTCCTATTCGACATATATCCTTACCTTTTCTGTCCATGCAACTGACGTCACAGAGTCATCCTCTGAGGCCAAATCGCAAAGTTTTGTGACCTAAAAAGTAAAGAAAATTTTTGTAATTTATGAAAATTTGCAGTAGAAGATCAAGCGATCAACTTTCCTGGAAGATAAGAGAGTGAAATACAATTATACTAGCACGTTAGATTCAGGTAATGCTAGCAAACCTTCAAATCCAAATGCCGCCTATCTACCATGTTAATTGCTTTAAATCAAACTTAAAGGCTTTTGTGCAACCGGCATGCTTAGCAGCAGTTGTTTTGATAAATTGACTGTGTTTTGTATTTTCATGCAGTACGACATTTGGCCGGTTCTGGAATTATATTTGCAAAGCATGCCGGTTGCATTAGAGCCTTTAAATTTCAGAAGTGAGGAATTTGGGAGCAAAAAAGATTGGATGATGAAGAGCATAAGGAAATTTGTTAGCAATTATCCATTTTCCCTAGGTTGAATTCCTGCAAACCCTGAAGATTTTTTAAACCTTCACGAAAGCAATGTTTCTGGAGACCCTTTTTACAAAAAGAGTAATAATTGCCAATGCTGGATGTAAACAATTAGTCTCAAGGCCAGTCAATAAGGTCAATACTTTACTGTCTTGGGTTATTCATAAACTATTTTGACATGATATCCTTAATGCAGAGAGTTTTACGCTTTAAAATTCAAAAGTCCTTAATGGATAGGATCTTCTGTAAGCACAAGAAATGAGCAATACCTGACTGGTGTACGCACTCCATAAATAAACGCACGTCCCTAGACCAACGCTGAGAATGTTCTGTGACGACCAGTCAACCAGATTAAGATAGAAATCATCCTAAAATTCGAATAATTACCATCAAAGGTGCAAATTAAGGTAAGATTTCCAACTTTCTCTTGCTCATAAATTTTTAGCTATAAATCGTTGTCTGCACAATATATAATTGATAATCATAATGATGTTTGTTGTGAATAGATTGTGATGACGACTGATAATGATGCTAATGATGATAAGGATAATTGCTGACGATGATGATTTTACTGTCGGTGATTATCTTCATATTTTTATGCATTAAGACCATGACAATGCCGACAAGAGTAAAACTTTAAGTATTTTGAATTTAGTCTACAGATTGCAAATTCATTTTTGGCATCTTTTTGACTGTAAATGACAAGGACTTTTATAATGTATGTCGTGTGATGCTAGAGACAATTTGCTATCCCGGTTGATTAAAATTTGAAAATGGGAAGAGAGAGTTTAAATCCAACAAACCTGCAGGTCTGGTGCATCCAAAACCTTAAATGGAACTTTTGAGATCTTACGAGTCGACTGAAATGTAAAAGACATATCTCTATTTGAGGAAGCATTTGGGCACAAAACAAAAATAATTGCAATACCTAAAAGATATCTTGAAATAAAAAAACAGATTTTTTTAAACAACAATTCTTTCATTATTAGCAAATACTCATCTGCCTTATATTTTCAACGCTATTGGACCAATCATTTATTGCCTTGGAGGGGGGGGGGGCTGACAAAGAAATTTGATCGCGGCAATAGGACTATTGACATTCAGAAGTGGCGGTTGGGTCGTGAAACTGACAAGGCCGCCCTTTCCAGACCAAGGGTGGGCAGAATTTACAATTTTTCTCTCATGACTAGGGAAATTGATATGAATACTACAAGACATGTCGATTCCCCATAGGTCTGTCAGCATATGATTGGTGCATAGGAAGGTTATTTTCTTTATTCTCAAAACCTAATCTGTGTTTACCTTTCTCGGTGATCGAAGCAGCTGATGGCTAAAAAAAGGACAGAAGATGGAAAATTCATATTTGAACAACCAAACCAAAGTGCTAATTTACAAACTTTACACAACCTTGCTAAGCAACAGAATGAGCAACAGCTGTACATAACTATACGTCAAAGAAAGACAGCTAACCAGTAACATCCATTTTCTATGCATAAAAAAGGAGTAAAAATAAACTTTGCTTGTTAACCAAAGGTGAAAATTGTGTGAATTCAAAAATGGACCACAACCCAAAAGATCAAAAGTACATGTAGATTGCATAACTCCCTTATTCATCATTCATCAACTGTTTATTCATCCAGCAGTTTTAATCTTTAAATTAATAAGCTGAACAGATACTTGAATTCAAGTTCTTTGGACATTTTGGACAAAGTCTGAAACAGACTGCATTACATGATCTTCGGCAATTTAGAAGAAAGTTAGAGATTTTCAAAGCTCTGTTGTACTCACCTATCCTTCCCAACAGGCGAAAGTGAAAATGGACTTATACAGTCACTTGCCTCAATAGAACTTCTTTTTCTTGTATGCTTGAACTAAAATTAATTTGATTTATTCTATCATTAGCATCTCAATTCCTAGAATAAGTTAGAATAACAGAAGGCTTAAAAATACATTATAACTACTAAGCAATGAAAATTACTGTTTAATGGGTCTTTCATATAGTTTTCGCTGCCATGTGGGCAGAGCTGTATAGAAATGTGGGCAGAGTTGTGCAGTGTTAGAACAGTTTATAATCTGAAGCAACTTAGAACCCTCTGATTGCTATCCATCAAAGCATGCACAGCTACGTTAATACAAATGTGAAATGGAAAAGTGTGTAAGTACATAAAAATTCATATAAGCTTGAAATGAATAGATTGATGTTGATGTTTTTTCATATATATAACAAATATTGTAATTTATTGTTGTTTATAGGAAAATGTTATGCACAAACCGTAAAGAGATTTTTACATCCTTTTGGTGTTGTTAATGGCTGTCTACTGTCATTTGAATCCTAAAAGAACGATGTCAATGAAAAGGAACTTCTAACATGGACATAACTGCCTTCTAGAAAAATACATTAAATATTCAAATACAAACAAATATATAAGCATAACTTAAAATAATACTTTTCTAAGATATTTTTGGTTGACATTAGGTTAAAAATCACTTAATAATTCTGTGAATTTCAACTTCAAAAAAAATCAACTCTGTATGTCAGCCTGTGTTCTCTTCCAAGTGCCTAATGCACTTTTTTAAAAAAAAAGTAATCAGTGCTATTCATTAATTCAAAAACTAATGCATTACCCTCGGGTTATCGATTTCAGCTCCCAGCAGCTCATTTCGCAGCAAACTGTTATACAATAGACTGTCTACAAAATGAGAATATTTGTGATATAGACAAAAGTATTAAAAATAACAGTAAACAAAAAAGATTATATCATGTTTTAATGTAATTCAATGAATATAGCTTAAAATGAATGTCACTAAGAGTGACTTAGTTCAGAAAGGGGAATTATATCAAAGTTTGAAGTATCAATCTTCATGGGTTTCCTCAAGTTCTTAATTTCACATAAAAAAGAAGCTGGGTATGAAATGATCAAATCAAAGAAATATGACAGCTTGCAGTGAAAAATTCACTAATAAGAAAATACTTCTCCTACAAAATTTCGAAATTTTATTGCCTGAGAAGTTCATGCATGATTAAATGATTACAAATCTTGGGAGCATAAAGGAGCTTGATGGTGCAATTATCTTTATTGGTTCTTCCATCCAATGATTTTATGCCCTTTTAAAATGAACCTTCATTTGAATTGTTTTGCTACTGAGGCCATGTATGAGCATTGAAGCTTCTGTGAATATGATATTCAGAGGGTATGTGGCAGCAATTGAGGGGTTTAATATCCCACAGTTGATAAAGACTTATATTAGAAATTCAGGACTTTAAAATAAATAGAACATTTACAAGTTTTTTCACCTGAATTAGAACAGGCTAAAGGGCCTATAGCATTCAAAAGGTTGCATAACTGAACAATCACAAGCGAAGCCAAAATTTTTTTTACCTTTGTTTTCATTGTTTACATTCTGTTCTCTGAAAGTAAATAAAATCAATTAGCAAGCACACTGACTGATCAAATCTGGTGACAAAATGATTTTGAAATATCTGATGTTGAATGAATCTATTCAAAGAGTAGGGTGCAATACACAATCAGCACATTAATACTTAATGTTCACATACCTTTGTGAGCTTTGAGTTGTTGGGTCAGAGTTTTCCTGAAAAAAATTGGATTTATACACTTTTTAACTTTCCATTTTTAAAAGCTTGTGTACTTATTTACAAATGCTAATTTTTAACACTCACTTTGAAATTCATTTACCATAATTATAAAAAAAACAGAAAACAGGATGCAATCAGAATTTATTCAAAATAATCTACTGTTCACCTGTTGCATCAAGATTCCAGATATGTTCCTAATAGCTGATCGGCTTGGGATTGCCCTAAAAGCAAAAATAAAAAATTTATCAAGAAGATAGGCAGGGGATTATTTAAACAGCTTTATACAGACTGTTTGAAAACTGAAACTGAGAATCATTTCACATAAACAATGGGAAAAATCCTATAATCTTAGTTTAATATTTTGGAGAAATTCTAGCTTTTTCATCTTAGAATACTCTTGTTGTGATTATTTCAAAAACAGGCATGGACAGATGGTACATCCTTATAGGTGTTGCTACTTGTTTTTATTCCCATGTGGTCTGGAGAATTCAAATTATCACATCAATTGAGGTTAGTTATCTACCATAGTATGTATTTGTTACAAAAGGCATTTGTGATAATTTTCTCATGATCATTTCATGAAAATGTTATTGAAAATGGAAGAATATATCATGATTCTAAAAAGTAAGAAAAGAAGATCAATCAAAACTGTATATACAAGGAGGCTCCAACTAACTATAACTTTAACTATAACTGTGCTAAAGGCTAATAGCCTGTCACAGATCTTTGAAGTGACTTCACCCTGGACAGACCGTTATACTGACAGACCACTCATGTTAAGCCAAACTCTAAATCATAACAAGTGTAACACCCAACTGATAGATATGGATGTCAGAAAAATAGTCTGTCCTTGGAAAAGCCACTCCATACTCATTGTATTTTCTCAAAAAGATAATGTTGTTGTCTTAATCTAAACTATTGAAAAAACATCTTCTTTACTAACAGAGTATTTCTTCTCTCCAAATAAATTGTCCAAATGATTCTTGAATGAATTTAGCATGTCTACATTTACAATGCTAGATGGTAGCTTATTCCATATAATCCTCAGGCTGAAAAACCTCTTCTTTGTGTCTTTTATTCAAAGTTGGATAAAACTTTTTAATTACTAAAAGATATTCAACAACAGCAGTAAGAAAAGGTATTTTTGAAGAAAAAACAACAAAATTTGGTTCAAAATGTAAAGTATGTCTTTGATAAACAAGAAAGCATCCCATACCTGTCACAAACCATGTCCATGTTGAGACGCCTCCTCCTTGGACTAGGGCTACAAATTCTTTTTGGAGACTAAAACAGATTTTGGGATATGCCAATTATTAAAAAAAATCATTGAAAATTATCATCAACAGCAACATTACAAAGCTTAATTACAATCTCTGAAGGTGGATTCAGCTGAGGATAAGCATGAAGCTAGGTATATGACTATGAGTGCCAAAAAAAAGTAGGCATGACTATGAGTGCCAAAAAAGTAGGCATGACTATGAGTGCCAAAAAAATAGGCCACAAGCTTGGGAAAGTATGATCTCTGCCAATGCGTGAAGTTCAGGGATTCAGTAGCTATTAACGAGGTGTACTACAATATATCTCAAAATTTCCACCATACCATACTTTGTTCATATTATACATATGTTACAACAGAGCATATACTGATAGGATAATATATTTTTTCAAAAGCTTACATGAGGTGATTGGACTGGACTTCTGCCATTCATCTGGTCAATGAGACGCCTTTCAAAATCTGGGTCCATGATAATTTACAGAAAATCAAAATCTATTGTACTTTGTTGACCTAAAAATGAGACAACTCTCTCAGACTAACTTGGATATGAAATTCAACATGTCTAAGTAGTGATTCAATATTTCTGTCTTTAAGCTCAATGGCAGACATTTTTGTATACAAAGAATGAGTACACTTGAAAAGGGAAGTCCATAGAGTACCTATAGATTTGGTATACTATGTCAACTTTGTTCTTAAAAATTAGTTTGAACTAAATCATCATTGAATGCTTCCTTTATATCTCTACTAGGCATACCTTTTAAATGTCTTTTAAAAAACTTTGGAAAAAGATGAAAACATTTTGCCCTTCAAAAATATTTCTCTGAAAATAAAATGGTGCATATGAACCGTTTTCACTTTAGTTCTCCTATTCAAACCACAACCTCATCTTTTCACTGCTAAAGACCTCATCTTTTATCCTGTTATTCAGTAAACACAAGCAAAAGCTTTTGAGACTTCACTTGTCCAACTTTTTAAAGGGCAACTGACCTGGTTACAAGCTACGGTTAACCAAAGGGATAAAACCTCGTCAACATTTCAAAGATGGCCTAATCAAGAAAAACTTTTCTGGTGAGACTAGAAAAATTTTGCATTAGAAAGCTGAACAATACCATCATCATCATCGTCATCATCATTAAAGCCCTGCAAATACACTACACCTGCATAGAAATTAAAAAGATATGCAAATCTAAGGTACTTGAAAGTGCAGAGAACAATTTATTATGTTTGTCTTTTGGCTAAAATTTTTGTTTTGGCCTAAACTTGTAAATGGTGGTAGGCTACATAAATTTCAGAAAAGAGCCAGATACCAAACAAAAAGACAACTTACAACGTTACCCATGAAATAACCAGGCATTCATGTGATGAAAAGCCAGACAGCCTTGGAGTTCAGGGGGTTTTCCTTGTCTGTCAGCTCCAGGCCTAGAACTTTCAAAATAATTAGGCGTGCAGAAGAATCACTTTTTCGAATTTAGACCGACCAACAGTACTAGTCACCAGGCCTCTTGTTCAATTTAAAGATGTCCCATGGGAGACCTTTGAATGCAGAGTAAACCGTTTTTGTAAACCTCTTTTATCTAAATCTTTTCCCATAGATGAAATAAATAAATTAATAAATTTTGCATATTTGAAAAATTATACTTTCGGAATGTTCCAAACTTGTAAGAGTTTTTATCGTAGTTCTCCACGGGGAAGGCGCTGACTCACAACTACAACAACAAGACTTCACCTCGCCTGTTATTATGGCTGCCAGAAGCCGCGAAGAAATCCCTCGATTATAACATGTAACTCAAAATTCGAAGAAAGATAAAAGCATGGAGGGCAAGAACGAAAACCTGGCATTTGGAGAAGCTAATCACCCATATAAACTAGTCAAAGAGCTCGACAAACTGCGCAAGAACGAAGAATTCTGCGATGTTAGAATTCTAGTTGGTTCGAAATCATTTCCAGCACATCGTTGTGTTCTTTCTTCTGCTTGCTCGTATTTCCGAATAATGTTCTCATCGGGATTAAGAGAGTCCTGTAAGGATGAAGTTGAAATATTTGGAATATCTGAGTCGATATTTGACATAATATTAAGTTACATGTACACTGGCAATGTTGTGGTTGATCTGGAAGACATCCAAGACCTCCTTGTTGCAGCCAACATGTTTCAGATTGTATCGTTGAAGGACGCCTGCTGTAACCATCTTCAGAACAGAATTGATTGCAGCAACTGTCTTGGTTTGTTTGAATTTGCAGAAGCTTACAATTGCCCCGAGCTCAAAAGGCAAAGCTACTTATTCATATTAGAAAATTTTGTGGATGTTTTCCACAACAAAAATGAGGAATTTCTCAATCTGAGGTACAACACATTTTCAGAGTTTCTTGGCAATGAGTACCTTAAAGTTGAGTCAGAAGAACAGATTTTTCATGTAGCACTTCAGTGGCTGATTCACGATGAACAAAACCGTTTTGAGCATGTTACAGGGGTCCTCAGTAAAGTTAGACTGTCCCTTCTCTCTGATATAAAAGTTGCCTCTGCAATCAACAGCTTAAAGGAGGGATGCAAATTTGAACAAGAAAAAGACAAACTTTTGAATAAAATTGAGCATACATGTAGAAATTTCAAAAAGCTTCAAGTTACAGTAAAATATAATGTATCTGTCAGAAAAGGAGCACTAAAGTTTATTTACATTGTTGGAGGATACAGATCCCCACATGGGTTTTCATGGCTATCTGGAGACTGTCTTAGCACAACTGACAAATTTGACCTTGAGTTTGAAAGGCGCAAGTCATCTATGCCACAGATGCATGAGGCTAAAAGATCTCATTCTTGTGCCATAATTTCTGGAATCATTTATGTTTTTGGAGGAGAATGTGAATCAATGCTGTCAAATATTATAGAAAGATATGACCCTCATTTGAATAAGTGGATTGTAGCTGGATTTATGAGCACGCCAAGGTGTGGATTTAGTGTGGCTGTTGTTGAAGATACTGTTTTTATAATAGGTGGATGTGTCGGAGCAAAATTAACTAAAGATATTGATATTTTTTATGCAAAAACAAACAAAATGCAGAAAGTTGGAGAACTGTTAGCTGAAAAAGCGTATTTTGGCTGCACAGTTTGCCAAGGAAATGTATATGTTTCAGGTAAAATATTGCTAGTTGATGCTTATTGAAGCAAATGAAATTGAGAAGCAAATAAAAACTTGAATGTCATAAGTAAAAACTTGTATAAGCTTGTATAAACTTGTATAAGTATAAACTTGAATGGACAGAAATTAAGTTGTGATAATTATAAAGTTACATAGCTTACAAAAAGGCCAGAAAACGGACAAATTGGATTGAAATTACTGGAAATATCTGTCCTTTTCTAACTTTTGGGAATTTCATTAAATCTGATTAAACTTTTGTGATTCAAAAAATTTTTAAATAATGTTTTTTTCACTATATCTTTAATCAAAAAGAAATTAAGAATAAGTGAAAAATTCTGGATTACAAGCCTTTTGAAGAGACAATTACTGTTTATTTTTTAGGAGGAGTTGACAGATTTGATGAATATCTTGCCACAACAGAGATGCTAGATCCTTTTCCTTTTGGAACAAAAAACACTAGGCACTTGAGAACAAAGGAAGAAAATGGAATAGAAAACGAAGGAAGCTTAGAGTTGGTTACAAAAAACAAAGCAAAGATGGCAACAGCAAGATCGAATCATTCACTTGTATCCCTCAATGACTTTATCTACTCAATTGGTGGACAGTCAAATCCAAAATATACACTGAAACTTGTTGATAGATATGATCCAAAGTCAGATGTATGGGAGACAGTAACTCTTTTACCTGATCCAAGGTCACATATAGCTGCTGTTGTTTATCATGGAAGGATATATGTTATTGGTGGTAAAGACCAAAATGGGAACACATTGAAATCTTTAATTTACTTTATCCCTGAAAGAATGTCATGGAGTCAGAAGTTTGAAATAGAGTTAGACAGGTGTGACATGGCAGCTGTAGTTCTTTAGAAATTTTTATCAAGATGTATTGGTGGTTCTATTTTAGGAATATATTAATTAAATGCATTTATTGTGCCATCTTGTCACAAATGTGAATAGAACCAGAGAATATATAAAACTATAGTGTCTGGTAGATATAATATTTTGTGCCCCAATCTATCAGCACAATGCAGCCTCATCCACCTCAAGATGAGATCCAATAAATATTTATGAACATAAACAAAGATTAGCCTTGTTAATCCTTGTCATACTACAGAATTATGAAAAATCAAAATTCACTAGGTCAACTCCAGTTCAACATAAAGGGCACCAGTAATAACAAACATTAAAAAGCTAACAGACACAAACTCTGTGAAAACAAACAGTGTTTTCTTATCAATAGCACTGGCATTTAAACTCATTTTTTAGGAAAAACCAATTTTCCATCAAACTCAGCTGCATTTTTGTAACACATAAATAATTTAAATTACAAACAGTCATGGATGTACATGCCAAGAGGATTGATGTGTTTTTGCAGCATGCATAAGTTAACTCCTAAAAACATTTAAAGATAAGACAGAAAAGTTGAAACTTTGCATAATGAAATAATTTTGATTGGCAACTTTTTCAGACGATGACCAACAGGCAAGTATAAATTTATATCCAGGTGCAGATTGAAAACAATGTAAGATGAAGCATGATGCTTTTTGTTTATTGATGTACATGCCTTTATTAATTGGATCACAATTATAAACAACTAGGGCAAAATAGGTGTCTAAGAACTAGCAAACTATAAAACACATGTTTGAAACAAGTTATATGAATAAATAAATAATCAAATTTTCAAAATTCCAAAAATTTTATCAACAACTTGCAAAATTTCATAATCTGTATAGCTTCTGTACTTAGTCAAAGTCCCTTCAAGTTTTTTCTTAATCTGAACAAGATTTTCTTTAGACAGATCTGAAAAATAGCAAAGACATCAATGAGCTTACAGATAGGCTAATAACCACATAAGGTTGAAAAATATAAAAAGCAGACAGTAAATAATATAACTCACTTACCCTTAACATTTTGTAAGAATTCTAAAATTGATTTCATTCCTTGCAATCTCACAGACATGTGTGACGTGCCATCTGGAAAGGGGAAGAAAAAATTATGTGATACCACAGAAAGTGCCAAACAAAGGTCTATCTAAAAGCAAAATTCAACAACACATGCAATTCTGAAAACAGGAACAAAAGAAACACTAAAGCACATGCTAAGTAGACTGCTTTGTACAAGGCAGGGAAAAAGGGGTACTTGAAATAAGGGCATTATAAATCTTTTGTGTTTGACATGCTCTAAATTTTTCTTTAGGACTTTCTTGCAGTTTGTAAAATAGGGCCCTTTTTCCTTCTTTTTCCAAGGGACCCAAAGTACCTTAGTTACAACACTGATTGTATGACCAGGTTTTTATATGCTAATACTGAGGAATATGGCATAAATAATTTTGGGAGATAATTAGCACTCAGTTATGGTCTATCATATTCATATTGATCTGATTACAGTATGCATTGAAATTGTATTGATCATAAAGAACCATTGCCTTAAGAGATCTGATGTAGCTACATGGTGCCCCCTCACCTAAACAAAGTACAATCTCATCCACCAATTTCACAGCAATTATAGAAGCAACTGTTGAATTCTCATCATTCATCCATTTTTCCATGGCATCTTTCCATTTTAGTCTGGAAAAAAAGAAAAATAGATGCCAAGCTTAAGAGCAAACTGCTAAATTTTGATAGTAGAGTTTTATTCAGTAAATGCTAACCAAAAGTGAAGGGTAAAGATACAAAGAAATAAAGGTTGGTTTCAAAAATATGTCAGAAAGTAAATCATACCAGGTTCAATTCATTTTGACAGATAAAGGGCTACATTCACTAGCAACTGCCAGTGAGCAGGGGCGTAACTTGGCCAATAGGTTTGGGGGGGTGAAAAGGGTTTCTGCCCTGCGAAACTGACTGGTGCCCTGCAGACCTCGTAGCAACGGTTTGTCTATAGGTTACTAGTGAAAGCTTTACCAGTGTACACTGGTCTTTACCAAGGACAAACTTCTAAGCAATAAAAACAAACTTGAAACTTCATTGCCTATGAAATATCTATTTCTCTACGTGAGCGTAATTTTTTTTATATTCACTTCATTTAATGTTGGTTTGGAAAATACTAGCTAATAAACAGCTAATGGGGGGGGGGTACATGATGCAGACAGCGCAACGAAGTTTAGCTCAGGGGGACTAAGAATCAAGTTTAGTGAGGTAGGAGGACCCACCATGGTTGGGTCCGACGTGAAGAAAATTTTGAAATTATACCTTCTAAAAGTGCTAAAAAGCATCTTTCAGACAAAAATTTAGCAAAATACTACAGTGCTAAAAGAACTGATTGTTTATTGAAAATATTATTGTTTATTGGAAAAAAATAGGGAGGGGGAATATCATGCTAAAACTCTAGTGTTAAACATTGGGGAAGGAAAGAAACGGCAACCTTTCGTTTCAGATTGCACGTAGTTGTGAATGACAGAGGAAGATGTTGTTTTGATTTGAGGAATTTTTTTTCCTGAACAGAAATGTGCAGTTTCTTGTATCGAGAAGGACATGTTTACACATAAAAAATTAAAACATTGCAATGATACAGAAATGATTTACTGAATTAATGCAAATGAAAGAAAAATGATAAAAATATACGTGAAAAAGTTAGCAATTAGATGAAACAAATTCGGTATCCTAACGATTTATTATGTTTTTTAGTTCACGCACTGTTAAAAAGTAATAGAAAAAATGATAAAAAATTCTTATCTTGATCAAAGTGAGGGCCTTCAGCCCCCTATTCCCCCCAGTGACGCCGTGCCTGTCACGAAACAATTTTGCCCTCATAAACATATGCATCCATCATTGCATCAATTGGCTATGACTTTCGGTAAGAAATGCTTTCGCCTTGCAAATAACGGAGCTTTTATTTACATACCTGTTCCGTTCTCTAAAATACAATGCCAGGAAGGGGGGTTCATAAAAAATACGATACTTCCATTTAAAAATTCCTAAACGGCCCTTTACGAACTTCAGAGGTGGTATTTCTGCGTGGCAATAAAGCTCTTCTTGGCGCCCTGCGAAATCTTTGATTGCCCTGCGAAATCGACTATTTTTTGGATTGGGGGGGTGTCACACCCCCCCACACCCCCCCGGTATTTTCGCCCCGTGAGTTACTGTTAAAAAAGGAATACCATCTCGCCTTACTTCTGAAAAGAAATCTGTGTGCAACAATTTGAAAAAAAATCATAGTATAGTTATTTATTTTAATATAAGAGCGACATAAACCTAAATGAAAAAGCAATCATTTGAGAATAATAAAAAAATCTCACCTGTTGAAAAATCTCTCAATTGAACGAAGAAGGGAGAGCTGGACCCGCCATATGGTTGTGTTTAGAAGGCGAATGAATACCTCCAGTATGTAGGGGCAATATTTTTCTGCAGAAGAAAATGCCCTATTACAACAAATACCAAAGAATACAGTGCTGTAGAAGTAGGGTCAGCATTTTCAAGTTCATGGATGTTTGCAAGTTTTCAAGTGTTATTGACGGATGAATTCTTTTATAAAAACAGCAAAGCGACAAGAATAACAATTATAGCCATTATACTAAGAAATCTGAACTAGCAAAACTACCAAATGAGGTAATAATGCATACCATTGAAATAATCATTAACCTTATTCGAAAATGCAATTGAAAATTTCTTCACATTTTTAACAAGGATAGAGATAAACTCATTAGCAAATACTTAGCATGTGAATTATAAGTGGGATTTTCATGTTGAGGTGTCAAAACAGGACAGATACATTCTAAAAATAAAAGATGATTCTTTGAGCTGATACTTTTGAGATTATTCTAATACATAGACAGCTGAACTTCAATAGCTCCCTGCACAAACTATCCACCTCTTTAAAATAGCATGTTTGGAGTTAAATGCCCATAGAAGATCCATCCATATATAAAGGAGACTTTCAGACAACTCTTTCCAAACTAAATGATTTTCTCATTCCATTGTTACCTTGAGTGGCTTGGTTAGATGGCCACGACTTTCCCAAGGCTTCTATGCAACAAGAAATTAAAGAGTCTTTCTTTGTTTTATCTGCTATGTCATCATCATCATCACCAGACTTTTTTTCTTTGCTCTGCAAAAATAAAGAATCACAATGTATGCAAATACTGTTTCATCCAGTTAAGTAATACCCCAGATAACTTAGAATTCTAATAATTCAGACTGATTTCAAAGTCCTATGGTTTTCCTGCCTTATTCACGCCAAAAGACAGACCTTGGATAAGTCGGACATTCGCTAAGTCAGACTATTTTCTAACAATTCTTGAAGATCTGACGTAACGGGATTAAACTGTATACTATAAATAGAAGGGGTGTAAGTGACCAATAGAGCTGTGTAAGTAATTTCTCAAAACAATATTTGCCAGAAGACAGGTACTTAAATAAGAGCACATGTCTGGTGATCTATTGCAAGAACAGCAAACGAGTTGGAAAGTAACGTTATCAAAATAACTTATTTTTAGTGTTTTAGACTTTGAGCCCGATATCCTGAAAGAGCAAAATCTTTAATTTTGCAAAACAGTTGAATCTGTTACAAATAAACTGAAATATTGCAACATAAGGACGGGCTCATTCCACACCAAGCCATTGCAAATTGTCCCTGGTTGTAAAACTTGTGAACCAATTCCAAACAACAGTAATCCTTTTGCAAAACTTATGTCTTTCAACAGCAACATCTCAGCCAATTTTTGAACAGATTCAACTGATTTTGCATGCACTTTTACAGACATGTTGTGCTGTTCTTCAAAGTTATGGGGTCTAAAATTCTGAAAATATTATTTTTTATGATGTCTCTTTATCACTCTATTGTAGTGGGCACGACTTTGGAAAGTGGCATGCAGGAGAAAGCATACTGAGCTTTCAGGAATGATGTAATTGCCCTACATATATCCTTGTAATGATGATTGCATTGATGTAAGAACAGTTGCCTGGTGATTGCATTAAGCGTGAAACTTGAAACTTTGATATAAAGTCATTCATTCATGTTTGAAAGTCGTTCAAAGAACTGATAAAATAGAGACATTTATAAAATGGATTTGGAGACTACAATGCCAATGGCAATATATTTCCATTAAATCAAAACTCACCATTATAAATTTATCAACAATATCCACAATATCTTTGAATCGGTCAACTTCATACTGCTCGAGTATATCTCCAGTTGCATCCAAAGCCGCCATCTTGTATTGGATGGTGTCTTTTCGGCATTCTTTGAGCAGTGAATCTACAAGCTAGATAGCAAGATCAGAAAAATCAGGTAATAATATACATGAAAAAAACGAAGAAAAACATAACAGGAATAAACATGCACTTTGATATTTTGTTTGAAAGCAAAGACAAATGAGCAAGTTTTACAAACATTGGTCTAACTGTATAGTGTATGCAATCAATATGAACCAGTCTGCTGAGTTAGCAGTGTGCAACTGGCACATACTGCAGAGTTGGTTTACAAAAATCAATCAAGATAAGTTAAAGCAACATTGAGTGCGGGCGATCTCAGATATAACGAACACATATCTAATATGGGTGTCTTGTACAGTCAATTAACTTGCTCCTTTAAACTGTAACTCAAAAATATCCATCATAAGCAGATCAAGTTTACTTGTAGGATGAAACAGGGACAACAGGAACTGAATAGCAAATCCTTGAATGAATATTCAGTGCAACTTTTTGATAAACTGTTGGTTTAGCATGATGCAAGCCCTCGGCTCTCGTTTGGTGTTTATAGGCACATCTAAAGCTAACTAGCATTCAAAGAAGTTATATTAAGGATTTTGTGACTTACTAAATCTATATGTGGGCATGGTGTCGACGTGTTGAGAGACTGTTGGATCCCTTCTCTAAACATAAAAATAACGTATCTTTTCAGACAAAAAAGACTCAGATAAACACACTTTACATAAGAATGTTCATTTGTTGCATCCAAGGAAGAGAAATTTCAGTAAAAAATAAAACAGAACGACACAAAACAAAATTGACAAGATTCTTCAACCAAATACCAAAATATCAATGATATATTATTTTATTGTATTGTATTGCCACCTAGCATCGGAAGAGATTTTTCGGACACTGAGAAGCTCGATGATCGAGTAGTGTTCTGGTCCTTCCTCTCGGTGTGACCACACCTTGTGATTCCTACGCCTGAAATTACAGAGAGCTGGCGACTCTCCTCACTTTGGGTGAAAGTATGGTCATTTCAAGGGCTCGAACCACAGACCCTTGGATTTGTAGTCAACGACCCAACCACTGAGCCATCCTCGCTATTCATATACAGTCGTAGTAAAGCAAATTCGGAAAAAAAAGTTCTAATCCATGCTGCATAATTCCATTCGTATATATCAGAATGACTAACCGATTGGCATAAATTTAGCTGATAGTTAATAAACTTTTGCAAACGTTTGTTATGGTCAAAATAAACACTAGCAGATCACATGATATAGATAAGCAAATGATTCTTAGAGAAAACATGAGAACAGAAGATGAGAACAGAGACAATATGGAGAGGTATGCGTCGTAAATCAGCTAATAAAAAAGAGTAACCTACTTGCATTTGATACAAATAGATGACAAAGCCTTGAGAATTTGATCCTGAAAAAGAAATAATGAAAAGCAATCGTGAAAGACAAATCCGAATGTTTAAATTATAGAGGGAATTTCGAAATGGCTACCAATGCATCGAAGAACTGCATGGCAACTTTCTAAAACATAACTGGGAAGCGACCACGAAGAAAGATTCAAAAGAAAGTTGCAAAATTTAGTGTATTGATAACAAGAAAGAACAAATACCATTGCAAAGTAATTAGAAGGCGTTCACGATACAAACGCCAAATGTATTCTTCCATTAATACATGGTAGGATCCACTGACAAAAGAAAACAAGACCTTTTGCCGTCAAATCATTCTTTCAGTTACTCTAAAGCTTTTTACAAAGTATTTCATAGATAAAAGCTTCTCCAACAGATATATAGCAAAAAGCTCCAATTTTGGTTAAATAAAAGTCTCCGTATTTCAAGCATTTAATGTGAAATATTACTTTTCCATCCCACGTTCTTCCTGGCAATGCTTGCTGAAGAACAAGGAGAATTTTCCCCAAATTTGGCTGTGATAATGAAGCACCTACGAGATGAGGTGAAAAATTTTAAGTATTAAACCCAAAAAATGCTTTTCACAAAAAAAGAATGAAGAATATTCAGCTAAAACTCCAGCATAATGTAAGGTAAACGCCAAATATTCTCAACTAGGACATGGCTACTTATAATGAAGAAGTAAGTGGATAGGGTGCTGAAAACTGTAATGTACTGACGAGTGATTTGAAACAATCATTTTAGGTGTGAAAAGAGCTTCAAAAGGAAATCTCCATACCTAACGAGTCTGCCATTGTCTTGATCGCCCTAGCTGCTTGAGATTTCAATTTCCAAGATTGGCTTGACAAAGCTAACGTCAAAATTTCAACTATTTCTTCAATATACAGCTTGATACCAGACTGTGTTCCTTCAAATAATGAACATATAAAATGATCATATTTTTGTGGTACAGAATTAAAAAATGTAACATGTTTCAAAATGTTTGTTTTTTTCATAAAACCATACATTAATTATCTATTACTATGATTGTTATAATTGCTGTGATCCATCGAGGGATTACAGGGTTCCAATTGTGATTGCTTCGAGTGAGTAACAGTGGCAACATCTTTAAGGTAACACTGTTTTTGCGAACTCGACAAAGCATTCGATCACATTTGGAATACATTTAAACCTCAAACAATAACGGCTTATAATCAACATCAGCAAACTTTAAGGCTAATACAAACTTAAATATTCTTGAATATGAATAAATAATAAACTTCTAATATAATAAACTATCAACACATTCTAAGAAGTTGGAAGTTGGGATTTCAAATAGAGGAGCAATCATTCATAAAACAATAAATCTTTTTGAAGAGCACCCACAAAAATATCTGAATATAAGATGTTTACCCCCAACAAAAATATTCAATTAAACGCAAAAAGATCCCCCTAAAATGATTAATTTGAACGAATATTTCCTTCATAATTAGATCATATCCAGTCGCCTCAGACCACGCAGACCACAGATCCAATTAGATCATGTTGTAAGCTGATAGCTTTGAAAGAAGACAAAACTTTAGATAAATTAAAATTCCCTTCAAATGACATACCAGGAGTAGCATTTCCCCAGACTTCTTCCCACACTTCGCGTACATCTGGAGTTGAGTCTTCCCCAGAATCCTGTCCTGTAATGAAAAGAATTGTAAAATTAGGCAAGGTATAAAACAAAAAATTTAACAATCAAATTTTTGCGGGGTTTTCAACTGATAATCGAAAAAGTAAATATAAATAATGACGTCATCTTTCTACAAAACCATGTGCATAAAATAATTTTTCCTATCAATTGTGGATTTGCATACAATTCTAGATAAAACCGAAAGAAAAATAACTACAAAAACCTTTTCCATTGTCCTGATGCATGGCAAGAAAAACCAATGGCAAAACGATAGCTGCGTGTGATTTCAAAACATCGGGTGAGTGTCGAGAAATTCTTTGGAAGGTCCAGGCAACTGCCAACTGACGAGTCGTGTCTTTCAAAACAAAACAAGATTTATTAACTTCAGATTACAAAACATGTTTAAAATAAAAGTATAAGCGATATTGTATAACTATCGATAAAGATATATGAAGATTACTGTTATCTAGTCTGTTGTTTATCGCTTATTGAAATATGACCTGTTTTCGTTGCAACTCTGATTTTTCATGAATAAATGCAATTTTGAAGCAACAGACTAAAATTCTACGTGATGTACCTTCCTCTGAAGTCCAAATCTATCAATAATGCATATCCTTAGAAAATAAGTTAAAAGATATATCTAGAAAAATTTTAAAAGACTTTCAAGAAGACAAAATGTTTAAACCTTCTTTCTCCATATACCATCCTTTTAACTTCTCCACCAATTTCTCAACACTTGAGTCTTTGGAAAACTGAAGACAAATAAAAAAGCTCAAAATAAAGAATTACTCCGTGTTGTAAATAGGCTGGAAGGGGTTTTAGCAAACTTGATACTTGAAGAAAACAGCATTCATTAAGAGAGAATACTTTAATTGTGACAAAAAGGTATCAAGTAGATTGAAAATAATGAAAAATGTAGATATAAAGAATTTTTCATTTTTCATGTTTTTCGTATATTATAAAATAGTTATGTTTGATGTATAGAACAGGACGATTCTCTATCACAACTCAAGATTTCACGTTCAATACGATAATCAAACTGTTTTGCCTACAAGTCATCGAGTATACTCTTAAACAAACGGGTGAACTGTAAATGTCATTTTTTCAAAAACCCAAAAAATTCGACTAATTTAGTCAAAGCACTATTGAAACAATGCTTCTCTTTGATAAAGAGACTGGCTACAAATACTTTTTTCGTTCAAATTACCAATCGCAAGTTAACAATATTTTCAATTATTGGTTCAACAATAACAATAAGAAATTGCTGGTTTAATTTAGCCTAAAACTATGGTATATCGAAATACGGAATCATGCAAAACTTGTGCATTCATGTCAACCAGTAAACGGTACGCTAAAATTGAATTACTGTCTGCGCCTGATAGTCCTAACAGAGAAAGTAATTAGCCATAAAGTAAGAAATAGTTAAACACATGAGAATTTCTTGTAATACCATGACGAGATGCCCAATGGCATTGGCGTATGATCTCTTTACAGTGTTGTTTGGGATGCTGAATCCACTTAATAGTGACGCAAGCAGCTTGCCTAAAATTTGAAACATAATTGTCATTGAAAACATGATTACAATCAAGAAAGGCATTTTGCTAAAAGGATGACATGACAACAAAATCATCTGCACATTGCAATCAGTGTTACTGATTGAATTACAGTCTTTCTACAAGAAACCATGAGAATTACATAAAGTAGAAAACAGAGGTAGAGGAAAATGGCTCGTACATTGAAATAAGTATTCTAATGTTGGTTACGATCTTTAGGGTAGAAATGCTCTGGAATATTATTTTTTATAATTCGCAAGACTTTATCAAGTCAAAAACACGCTAAAAATGTGCTAAATTGGAAGTCATTTTGTTGTAACCATAGCCTTGTGCGAGGAGCCTAAAGACAAGGTACTTTGGTCCAAGTTAGAGTCCAATTTATGGAATTCTCACTATACATAAATAGCCTACCTGCGAATGGCTGAAGATCATTTCGACACTGAATTGTGAGGGAGATGACGAAATTCGCACAGCCAACCTTTAAAAAAGAATATATTCAAGACATAAGTATAGCCTTGAATAAAGGAAAACAGAGACAGCCGATGGGTAAAGGGAGCCGATCAAGAAGATATTTTAGAACATTTAGTTTAAGATATCTATTATTAGTGACAACAAGTTACTTATTGACTATTTGAATGATACTACATAGTGAAAATGTTTGGATGTCTGGTCCTAGCCTCAGTTGTTGAGTCATACGTGCAAAAAGATCCTATGTAGCGGTTGTAGCAAAACATCTACTCCTTCTTGCCATCCAAATTCTGTAAGTTTGTAGCTTAAAAGATATTAACATAAAAATGAAGTGAATGAGAGGGGAAATGGGCTCAAAATCTGAGCCTTTTATGCTCAGAATTGTAGACAAAATACGCTGGCTTCATAGGCTTACAAGAGCTATGGATTCTTAGTCAGGTTGTGTAATTGGAAGAATTAATGGTATTTTGGTGCTGGCTACAAGAGAGATATGGGTAAGTTCTTAGTAAAGGCATGTGGCCGAACTAACGTAGGTCATGGGGACAGCCAGGAGGGAAGGTAGATAGCAAAAATCATTTAACGTCACATATTTTAAGAATACAAGCACTTTACCTTGGTGCCAAGACCTATTCCCGTCTTTATAAGCTCGCTCAGTCCAGGTACTAGCTCAGTGAGGATTTCTGGGTCTATATATTGAACACACTGAAATAAAAATTAACTGGGGTCGTCAAGCCATAGAATCAGAGCGTAATGAATCTACTATTACCACAAACTCCTATTAACCAAACGTCTGGAAAGCATTAGTTATAATAAGCAGATAGAGCACTAGCTAAACACAATAAGGTATCTTGAACATGTACAGAAAGTGTTTTTGGAATATGAAATCTTAACTTAAGATTACTGTAATAACATCTTCCTTCAACATGCTAGAATAAGGATGTCTTGCCCTGATTTGCAACAAGCATATTGTCCTTCTGATTGTCCTTCTCTCATTTTCTTGTCCTTCTGACTGCATGGATAATTTCAAATAACGACAGGCCACTAGAGAATATTTTCAAGCCAATACATAGAAATTGTGATATCAAAAAGTGTAGAAGGAAATATGCGATAGGAGGGCAAACACAAACCCTTCCCCGCATTGGCCCCGGAATATCCAACTTTTGAAAGCCTCACTTACCATGTTAATCGTATCCATCATAGGAGATGATTTTGAAGCAGAAACTCTGATAGCGTCAAGCTAACAAGAAAAGGGGGGCAGGTTAGTATTAAATAGCTTACCAGCCTTAATAAATTGCAACATCAGATAACAGGAACATTTCACTGAATGCATCAATGTATGACATGATAAGATCAACGAAACTTAGAGTGCTTGTAACTAATATTAACCTTACTTAGGCATATCTTCAACTGATTACAAAAACGATTATTCACACAAACCAACAACAATTAACTCATATAGGTAAGAAGGGCTTCGGATTTTTCATCTAAACTTTTTCAGCAGGACTTGACAAGCAAAGAAATCGGCACCCCTGATAGTCTTGAAGAAAAGGCCATGAAAATGATATAGGTGCAAGATTCAATGTCTTTTCTAAAATTAATTCAAATAAAGCAAACCTTTTCTTGTGCATCCTTGCTTTTGGAAAGTTGCAGATCAAGTGTATTTAGATACTAAAAAGAGAGATACTTAATTAGGTTTTGTTTTAATACTTGTAATGATGCATAAAATATTCTGCATATAAATGTAGCAAAAGTAACAAAATAGAAAAATTAAAAAAGCTCATGACATTAAAAGCCAAACTGCGTCAAGTTTTCATTAAATTTTCACTCTAAAAGATTTTGCAAGGGGGATGTTTTGAATTATAGCTCTGCTCTTAACGAATAATTTACAATGATGAAAAAGCAAATAATTACTTGCAAAATCACTACATTAAAAATTTGTCTCTCAATTTTGGTCCTTTTTTAATCTTAGTCCATCAAAACAAAAAAATCCAGTTTGGTAAGGACAGTTAGAGAAAGATTTCTTCTATGAGCTCATCAAATGACTGAGGGGCTAATTGCCCTCAATTGTTCTAACAATGCGCCAATCTAACATATAATCATTGCTCCCATATTATTTTTGATTCACCTAGTTGTAAATTTCCGTTCCCCTTTTAGCCCTTTACCAAATTTTCATAAATTGGTCTGTCTGACGAAATATATTTTAGCATGCTATAAAGTTTTTCACTTTTCGTCCAATTTCAAGATAAAAACTTTCTAATTCAGATACGGATTTTAGAGGTATGACATTTTCCAATACATTTATCAAAAGGGCCTGCCGATAGAATGACCAGAGAATATATTTGGATGGGCAAGATTCGCTAGGAAAAGAATCAAGAAATCCAGGTGGCTTGTTTAAAATTCAACCATCCTGCAACATTTTGTGAAATTTTTCCTCAGGTCAGTGTGGTAACTAAATGTAAACCAATAAAGTTTAATCAAATCAAAAGAAGGTAGCATAATTATTTAATACAAGCCTCAGGAAAAAGTTTATGGTTCATTCAAATACACAGTTAAATTAAAAACTGTTTTATGAAGATCCTGTTTTTATCCGGTTTTGATCCATAATCCTTTTTTGATCTGGTTAACTCATACTTAGGAAACAATGCATTCACCGCCTTCCATTTAAAAATCAGCTTTTACCCTCCAGCAAGAAGCTTGCCATGCCCCTGTTTAATTATGCCCTGCAGGGCCTTTATAACTAAATTATCAATCAAAAGCCACTAACGCAATTCAATTTAGTATCAATTTTTCAACCTGTCATAAGATTCTTGCAACAACAAATCTTATTGCGCGTCTTTAATGAAACATTTTTACCGGCGTTTCCAAATTTTGAAAATTTTTCTTAAGAGAATATAAGAAAAATATGGAAATGGGAAATATTGACTATTCCAGTTGCAAATAAAATATATGGAAATGGGGAAAAGCCTCTTAAAAAAAGCTGGAAGTGAGGCCTACCAAATTTAAAATGAGGCTAATAATTCGAAGTGAGGCTAACAAATTTAAAGCGAGGAAAGGAAAGTAGTCCTGCTCGAGCACTTGATAAATGTACAAATCCAGAGTAGACCAGAAAAGCATTGAATGAGAAGTTGGCGAGAAAGACTTCAAGGCAAAATTTTTTCAGTTTTGTCCTTCACCATTAAATGTAACTCAATTAACGTGTGAATATCGGAATTAGAAAAAAAGGCCTAGTCTATAGAAATAAACTTTCTAGTTGGCTAAAATATGCACCCTTTTGGCTGTTTATTGGAGAAAAAGGAGATGTAAATAGCGATAATCTTACGCGGGTAAATTTACAGGCTATACAAGATTACTGATATAAATAGAGGACATCATTATTGACACAAGCAAGCCAACTAATTGGTCAAAATAATCTCATTTACAGAAATAATTCCACGGAAATTTTAATTACCGATGATGAGATAATAAATATAGAGATAAACCACTAAAAAAGATTATCAAAATGATCAAAGATATTTAGTGATTTTTATACATTTATTAATCGGTACACTTACAAAGATTGATTGGAAATCTTTCAAATAACAAAAGACAGAGGGACAAAAACTTTCAAAAGAAACATTATAAACAGGAAATCTCGTTAAGATGCCCAGCTGCGGAGAGAATTGATCATTTAAGCAAGAAAGAGAAAGCTAGCTCCTCCATGAAATAAATCAACTTTAATGGATATAGGATTTATTGAAACGAGGAGATGATTAATATCTTTATTAGATTTGATAAACTATGACTCAAGGATTTGTAGATTCACAGAGTTTAAGCTTTTGCAGTAAAAGTTTTACAGTGTTGGAACATTGCCTGTTAAATTAATTTGCTGACGGAGCTTCAAACAATGTCGTTTCGTTGATCATCAATTTCGCATGACATTTGAAAATAGTGTGAACCGGTCTTTGCAAAGACATTTTCAGGGAAATTTGATGTAGAACCTTAGGGTTTTTAGTATTTGTAGGGCTTTATGCTATCCCTGCGGTCGTTGAACAGGAAATGGACCTTTAGTATATACGACAAAAAGAATGACAAAAAAGCAAACATACCTGAGGCTCAAGGCCACTAAGGGACTCTAAAAGAGCAATTACCAACTTAGCGATTTGTGGCTTCAGCTTCTTACCCTAAATGATAAATATAGAAAAAATAACAAGAAGTAATGCGCATGCTACAGAATATACGTAGTGCGATATAAAGAGACAATTCATAATTTTTCGCTGCTCGTGGATCAGTACTTCGAATGGTTTGAGAAATTAAATCGCAAAGTGAATATTATTAACTGATATCAATTTTATAATCGATAAATATCATAATCCATAATTTAGCAAACAACTTACGGCTGATTTGCTGATCTGAACCATGGTTTGTAAACTATGGAAAGAAATGTAAGACATTTGTCATTGTACTCTACTTCGATACAGAAACTTAGTTACATACATATCAGAAGTCTTATTTTAAAAGAAAAGATTTTATCCTAGGCAAGTTTTCCTATTAGTTGAAAAAAAATCTGAAAGAGAGTTGATTTCTTGTCGTCCCTTGCCTGTTATCCTATATTTCTTTTCCAAATGTCTAATGCAAAAGATAGGAAGAAAAAGTTCCCTTTACGTCGCATTATCAGTATACGAACGTGTGTTCTTTTTAAGAAATGAGCTCACACTTTCTTTTAAATTTCCTTTAAACAATTTTCTTTAAAAAATTGAAAACCGCCATGATAACTAAATATTTTGTTTGAATAACATTCTCACGGCTTTTTCTGGTTACTGCTTTCCTGGTTCAAGTCAAAATATCTCAAGTTTTATCAAATATAAAAATATGAATTTAGATAGGCTAAAATAAACAGACTATTGTGATACAACTCTGAGTTTCATGTGTAAACAATCATCAGGTGTATAAATATAAGTATATATATAAACATATGAATTATGTATTTTTAATCGTTGTAATGATTCAAGGCGTGAAATATAGAACATTTTTCGTAATAACCTTATAGCTTTCACTGCATCGACTTTGCTGGCCAGACCAACGTTCAACAGAACAGGAAGAGCTAATGCCACTGCCTTCTCACTGCAGTTACTCTGTGTTATGTCACACACCCTCGTTGTCACCTACAAACATGCGGACAGTATCAGTGAACAGGATTGTACATTGAAAGAGTGAACATAAAAAACGACTATAACAAAAGCCATGCTCAAGGTTTAAAGATTATGATCTTCGTTGTTAAGCTAAAAAATGTACAAACAACAGTTTGAAAAATGTTGCTAGAATAATGCAAAGCATATTTGACAATTTCAGAACATTCTTTTTACATACTCTAAATAAGTTCAAAATGACGAGAAGGCAGGCATGTAGTTTTATGTTTTTCCTATCAAACATTGCGTCAATTAAAATTTAAACATTTAAAATAAAATAAAACATTGTGTCAATGAAAATTCAGCAATTGAGTACTGTAATTACCTTGCTCAGGGATTTGCAGCAAATTGTAGCACTGTTTCGTACAGATTCCTAGAAAAAAACAATAAAATGTTATTAAAGAAACCTATCATATACTTACAAAGGCTCACATTATCTGGGAGTTAAAAACCTGCACAAAATAACACAAACTGCATTCACAAGATTATTCAATTACACTTAGTAAAAGGTATTAATAGTGGTTTTATGTATAAATTTAATTATTATCAAAATTTATTTAACGCTAGCTGACTGCAAGTTCAAATTTCTTTGGGATGGCTGTTGGAGAGTAATTTAGAATTCAGAATGGCATGAAAAAGCACATCATATCACTCTGTGCCGAATTGCTTTTCGTTGCACATTTCTTCAGTTACAAATAAAACAGTAAGAAAGCAAGTAAAACATACTTTGATGTCATCAAGCACTTTAAAGTTTGTTTCCCAGATTTCTGGCAACAAGTCTAGGATGTCTTCAGATGGAGCTGATCGTATCAAATCGTTAAGCGCCATGCAGCTTCAGTCATAAAAGAGAACAAGAAGGTTTGATGACATCTAATTGATACCGTAGAATAAACATTTGAGGAAAAATCTTTGAAACCAAAAAAATAAAGACAAAATATTCAACCATGCATAAGTAGGCAAAAATTTCCTACCTTGATTCACGTATTCTCCATTGATAATTCGTCATGTTGTCGATCAAGTCTCTAGCGATTTCTTTCGTGTATTTGTCAAGCTACGGTGTTAAAATTTGTCTTGTTTATATAGATCGTGGGCAAGATGAAAAGATTCAATGGAGAAAATATATTTCAAAAAAAAGATAAGGAGTAGGATTCATGAAAATATGTTGGTTCATATTGAGGCTAAGGAAATTAGCAAAATTTGTCCTGAAATATAAATTATTTTTGAAAAAACATGACAAGCCACGTACAGATTTTTTGCCATTCGGAACAACTGATGACCAAATATTTGCCATTGCTTTCTGCACGTCAGGATTTGGATCGTATTGGTACCTAAAATAATGAGTCACTCAGTCAAACAAAAAATCATTACAGTGTATTAATTTGACCAGACACTCTAGTTGAACATCCCAATCAATGGATCAATGAATCAATCATTTAATCGATCATAAAATCATATGAAGATCATACAAGTAAACAATTATTTAATCAAACTCATCATAAGATCAAATCTTAGAATCAGGAGAGCCAGGCCTTATTAGCAGGATTGAACGCAAAAGTTCATGCTTAAATTCATTATTCAGCTATAAATAACTTAAATCAAATGTTAAATTAACTTCTAGCTAAATAAACCAAAATGCGACATAAAACTCCTACTTTTGATGCTACACACTTCCAAGGCAATTTGCTGAACACTGTGCTCGTTCTGAAATTTGCTTTATTCATAGTTTTCAATCATAGTGATTGTATTTATCATTTGCATTTAGCCTTTATATACTCTAAACCATGTAACGTGAAGTTCTAAAGGACTAAACGGGAACACGATATGAAAATCAAAGATAGGCCAAAACAGTTTAATTGGCAACCATTTGGAAACAAGCTGAAAACAGCTTATACCTGTATAATTTTGGAATGAGCTGAGGAAGAAACGGCTCCAGCTGCTTTCCTGCCTGCGATGCAATGCCAAGGAAACCGAAGGCAGCACCCTGTGGTTTAAAAATGAATGTCATTTTCTCTGTAAAACTTTTTACTCCACTATATACTGACTCCACTATATACTGGGGATTTTCTGCAAGTGATATTTGGGGTGTAATCCAACCACCGCTACAGTTGAAATAGTCATATGATTTTAGAAAAGAAATGCGAAAAATAATTATTCCAAGCCTCTGACAAACTTAATTTCCTGTCCATTAGATCAAAGGTACAAAACGCGACAAAAATTTCAAAATTTGTTTCGATCTCGCGTTACAAAAAAGGATGGATACTTATGAAAAATGAGAAGTAAGGTTGACTTTACATTGGACACATAAGTGAAAAAAACGGCTTGGTTTAGTGTTGACAAATGGAAAACTGTTTTCTCTTGGATGTCTAGTCAGAGAAAGTAAACTGCACGAACATAAGATCTGGCAAATGAGACCAATGAGTAAATAAACCAAAGAAATAAATAAATAAAACTTTTGAGCCCCACCTTTCTTGAATTCCAAACTGCACTGTGATTTGCCAAGTTCATAAACTTGTAAATAAGGTCGGGCTGGTTTAAAGAGCTTGCCAAAGAACACAATTCTTTATACGTTGACAAAGATCCTCTGAAGATAAACGGAGCAGGGAAATGAATACGCATTAAACGGCATAAAACAATAAAACATTCCAAAAAATGAGACCAGTGAAAACAAGGCTCTTGCAAACAATACGATATTTTTTTGCTAAACGGTAGACAAGTTAATAGGCAAGAAGACTGTGGATAACTGTTCTCTTGTTGAGTGCTTGATAGAGCCGTACACGGTTTGATTATTAAAGCATCGCAGTTTTAGGTTGCTATGCTCGTGTTTCATAGGCTCAGTTTCAATCTTAATGCAATCACACGGCAACAAACCAATGATTATGTTTCTATAGGTACATCTAGAAACAGGTCAATGTGGTTGAGCAACGGCTCATCCTATTTCAATTTGGTATTATCACGATTGTACAGATAGAGAAAATACGAGAAAAATTGACAATAGCTGAATACCCGTCAGGAGACGATCCTAGCTGTCCAGACCTGAAAAGTTGTGTATTTTCATCAACTTTCTGCATTGGCCTGTTGAAGGAAGATATGACTTTAGATACATAAATATTCATTGAAATAGATCAAAACGTAAAGAAACTGAAAAGGTACACAGCAAAGAGGTGAAAAACTACAAAGGAAAAGAAATATATCCTTTTTGTAATTGACATTTAAATCAATTCAAACTGAGTTACAAAGATGCAAAAAATATTATAAATCTATATACCGTAACGACACGAATCAAATAAAGGCTAGCTTGGGCTTTTTATCAATTTATCAATTTAAAAATTATATATTCAAATACGATGAGTCTCCGGGCTCTTTAAAGATATTGTTTGTAAACAAAACGCCCTGAAAGAAATCTTGACTAAAGAACACACCTTTTGCCAGTTGTGAGTCTTTCAACAAGCTGTGAAACTAGTTTATCCTTTACTTCCTCTGAAACCTGCTCATATATAAGACTAATGCCCCTTGATGCTACATCTTGGGTTATTTCTGGATAGACAAAAAAATATGAACAATGATTAAACAACAAGCAATTTACAGCTATTCAATAAATTATAGACTAAAAATTATGAAAAAATAAATAACACTAACAAAAGGTGAAAAATAGAGGAAAAGATCTCGGAGATATCACTCTCCATTTACACGGAATTGGATTCTTTTGAGAGGTGTTGATCAAATGACAGATGTATTAGATCTGAAAAATTATATATTTCCATCGAAATTTACTAAAAATTGTTCGAAAATCATCATAGAATACTAGAAATAGATCAATCAACAAAATGGTTTTGTAAAAATACGAAATGAAGTTTGAGAAAAATTATAATGAAAGGCCTCAACAATGGCTACCTATCTAGAAAATTATGTGATTTGGAGTTGACACTAGATATTAAATTGGTCATAAAATGACTCTTTTATCCCCCATTCTGTCATCTTTTGACAAAAACTGATGCACAAGTAAAGCCATACCATCATTGCTTGATAATAGTTCCATAAAGGCTGCTTGTATGCTTTCTAACGTTTCCTACAAAAAAATTAAACGATAAAAAGAGAGTAGTTTCATGTAGAAGTAGTAGGACAAGCCATGATAAGCTGAAAGTATAACTTCAAGATAATATTTTAACTGCTAAGAAAGCAAGTATTGTAAAGAAAAATACATGAAAACTCAAATTTACCTTGACTGCTAGATGATCTGGTGAAAACTTAACAATTGAAAGCAGCCACACAGCTGCAGCCTGAAAGCAGAAAACAAATTGTCAAACAAGAAACTTCGTGTCACTTTAGGAAGATTCTAATCAAAATGAAAAGAAAGGCGGGAAACACTGAATAAGCAAATTAAAACCAAAGTAATCAATGTAAACAAAAATGGATTATTGGTAACGAATACTCATGGAAAATAAATTAAGGTAAAATTAGTCTTCCGCTTTAACAACATCACATTTATTTCTATTGTCATTTATTACTATTTATTTTTGGTTATCAAGCAGTAGAGCTGGTCAAATTCTGATTGCTTTGTAGAAACACATGTGCTTAAAAGGTAGCCAAACTCTTTATATAAAAAGCTTATGTTTTATGCACGAATCTGCATTTGACTGACAAAGGGCAACCCTCACCTGTCTATCATAGGACGCTGTGCTAGTCACATGCTTAGTTAGTATCATCTTTAGTATTTCAAGCATTGATTCCCTGTCACAATTCACTTGTGTTTCAATATATGAGCTGAGAAGCCATTTATCTTTTGCAGCAAATGATTGACAGCCAGCTCCAATACAAGAAAGTGCTTCACCAACAGTGAAATTGAATTCAAGCTGACGGGCCTAAGAAAAACATTTGGTCAAGTAGGTTTACTTACATCAGTAACAGATAAAAATAAATGTAGGAGCAAAAAGGGAAAGACTGAACGTAAAAGGTCGTATTTTATGAGAGGGCAGCCTTAGTGATCACCTTGTAACTTATTCGATATTGAAGTATGTTAAACTTTCTCTAATCTTGATTAAAATTTAGAAAAACGCAAGTTAAAGGTTAATTATCGCATAGAAAGTGAAAATCCGTGCCATCCAGTTGCTTATTAACCAACTTTCCCAAGAGTGGCTGAATGAAATATGTTACTACACAGCAGTTATCAACAGATAAATTACGTTCATTATTGCAAACATTTGATAGAATGGTTATCGACCAATGACATATCATACCGGCAAATAACAAGCCTTCAAATTGTAAACACTTCATCACTTCAAGAATACTTCTAAACAATGTGTGACGAACAAATAAAAATCCCTGGCTAAAAATGCATGTAGGGAATTTCTAAATAGATTCCAACTGATTCCATAGTTTTCATCAATGGAAACTGAAAATAAACCCATGCATCATAAATGTGATTTTTTCTTCAAATAATAAAACTCACTTTTGCAGTTTCGAATAAAGCTTTGAGAACTTCCTGTTTGTAAGGATGTTTTGGTTCTCCAATCATGATGTACCCGAGGGATTTTGCAGCCTTCTCTTTGGTCTAAGAGTATACAAAAAATAAATGATATTAGAGAAGAAACAGGCACGTGCGACGCTTATTGCAAAGCATAGACGTTTTGATTGTTGGTACAACCTGAGCTCATTTTCTGCTGGAATTACTTGAGAAATCTCAGGCATATATGGGTTCGCATTTTTTATTTGCTCAGATATTTACTCGAAAAATGTCTTAAATCGTGGAAAACTATGAAATATATAAAGCAGGTTTCTTAATCAACGATGTGGCAAATAAAAAATTTGTTAATTACCCTTGTCTCTTTAGAATCCAGCATCGATATGATTTGTTTCATCAGGACCTCCTTTGACAAAGGTTTATCTAAAAAATATTAGAAGTTTTTTAAGGCTAATGACGTTACCAATCGTAAAATAAAAGACTTTGCTTAGCGCCTTTAAAGATGTTGCTGTGGAGAAAAGCATTAGTCTTCTAATGAGTGGGGTACCCCCCCCCCCCCTCCTTGGGTTCAAAGAGCATTGACATTGAAATGATCATTTTCACCCATGGTCTTTAACCAGAAGAGGGGAGGGGGGTGACTCACTCATAGAAGTTTTCGGTTGATTGTCTCATCAGCAAGACCATTCACTGTCTAAATCACTTAGATTAATAGTCATAGGATTATTGCAATCAGAATGCCCTAAAATAATGAAAGAAAAACGATCAGTAGCAATTAAGCAATTAAAATGATGTTATTGAAGCTTCCTCCAGATACCTCCAGTGCTGTCTTGCTTGATTCTCTTTTCAGGCATCTCAATATCATCTTGATTATCACTTGCTGAAAAAATGTTACCAGTTTAAGGAAAAAATCAACTATAGAGCTCATATTACTTCTTTTTACTTCTCTGATCTACATAACTGGTAATACTCATATCTAACCACTCATTCTCAAAAATGATAAAAACGGGTTCTGTAGACAAAAGTAAACTGCAAATATCTTATTAAACTTAGGCCAAGATGCAAAAATAATGAAACGACCACAGCGACCGATGAACTGAAAATAAAGAGCTGTTCTAAACTAAAGATATGTTAAATTTTGGTAGGGATTCACCACTTCTACAAGAAATTGGTATATGGAACATCGCGTTTAGATATAAATATCTAATGGCTTTTGGCGAGCTACAAAATTATCCGTTTCACATTATATAGCAAAAAAAATAGAAAATAATTGTACTGCCGAACTGATTGGGCAACCTCAACAGTGCTCGCGTTTCTGATTGACCTTTTTCAATCCACACCTGGGTATATATATATTTCCTAGCGTAGAGTTTTTTATCTATGTTCTGACGTTTTAAACTCTGAAGAGTGTCAGACGAAAAGCTTTAGTTTATTCAAATGTTTGCTTTTTTCAAAATATTAAAAATAAAAAGTATATATCTTAAATACTTTTAAGCAAAATAAGAGGCTGATGATTTCATTATTCATGAACATAACTAGCTCATCTAGTTTTGACAAGGTTATTGACATGGCGAAACTAAAGTCTGAAATAACCCTTAGCTAAAAAATCAAAATAATACAAGACATCAACGATACGAAAGGATAATTACTGTTGCAGTCTGGGATTGGCAACGGCATATATCGTCCAATTGCACCAATGGCATCACATGCAGCAATGCGTTGAGAATTATCTTCTGCTGAAAGCTTGGCAGCTGAAATGCGAAATCAGAGCGGCAGTGGAAACTGGCATTGTTGCAAACTTACATTTCTAATTAAAAGGCAATATTGATATAGAATTATTTTATCACATTTGTATCTATTAAGTGATACATGGACAAAAAGTACATCAGCTATGCAAGGAAGCATATATAAAATATTTTAGGAATGGGAACTTGAGTGGGCCAAACTCTCAACGTATTTTCTAAATCAACAACTACAAAAGAGGAAAATGTAATCTTAAGCTTGAGTCAGGTTGGACCCTTGCAACCCTGAGGCCCACCCCTGCTATTGAGCTGTTAAAAGATTTTACAGAAAATCCAGTACATAAAAATACAGGTTTCTAATATTTCTGCTATTAATTATACATCTTAATATATCTTCAATGTTTCAAATTTCGCAAGACTTTACGTTAAAATATCACAATATACGTATCAACATTTTTGAAATTTCTATTTAGCTGTCTATTTGAAAAATTTTCCGTTATTGTTAGATGTTTGTTGATGAACGATTGAATGAGCCAAGCTCTGTATCCATGCCTTGTATACTTCACACAAATTTATGTTCCTTAAAACAATTAAAGATTAAGGCCTAAAACTGTTAAATTTCAGTAATCTTAAAGGGTAAGGGCAATTCACATGAAACATACCAATTGCTTTAACAGAATCTTCAAGAACTTCTGAAAAACAATTTTCTTTGTCGTGATGAGAATCCATATCCTCTAACAGCAATTTTTTCTTGCTCGAGCTGTTAACACATATACGTCTTGCTATACAGTATGCAAGGCCAAGCATTGCCCCATGTTGAATGTCAGGATTCTAAGATGATATAGGGGGTACAGCTGTCAATGACATCATTGTCATCAGAAATGTCCTAATTTTTGCTGGGGAATACTACACAAGGATGATAAATGCTTAATTTCTTTACTACGCTATTCATTTAAGGGAAAAATCATTTTGATGACATTATAATAATAAACTATAAGTGAATCAAGTAGGTTTACTTAAAAAAGTAATGGAAATAAATAAAAGTAGAAGCAAAAAGGAAACAGATGGAAGGTTAAACGACATTCCTATGAAGGGGACAGCCTCACTTGTGTAGCTTGTAACTTAATCAAATCAATATTATCAAAATTTCGATAAAAATTCTAATCTTGATAAAAATTAAGTAAACATGAATTTAGAATTCACTTTCCCATAGAAAGTGCAATTCATGCAATTTTAATAAGTTACACAATAGTTTAGCTACAGAGGCATCACCAATAGGTCATGGCAAGACAAAAAGATTTAAGATAAAAAAAAGATTACTGAAATTAGTAAGAAAAAGAAATTGAAAGAACGAATAATCGAATGTACAAAAACTGTTTAGTTAATGATAAGCCTTAAAAAGTCAAAAACGAACATTTCTGTACAAAAAGTTAGCATAGAAATTCGGCTCTTAATCAGACATCTGACAGCATCAATTATAGACAGCTAGACAGCTCTGATCTTTAAGTCTTACATAATGAATAAAATGATAAGAAAGGAAAATCTAGATACCTTGTGATTAACATCTGCTATCATCTCCTTAACTAATTTCACGAACTCTGATTCAGCAACTGACTCCAATATGATACTCAAAATTCTTGCAGCATGAGACCTTGAATTCTCCTTTGATGACTTCATAAACACCTATCAAAGAAATTGTAACAGTAGAGGCGTCTACCCAATGTAGCTACCTGAAGATCATCACAAACCAGCAAAGGGACAGTATTATCCTTTAATGATACGACAGAAATAAATTTAGATGGTCCGTTACATACACACACGATCCAACTCTTCTGAAAGGTCCAGATTTAGCAGAATGGTACACTGTGGTAAGAAACTTCGTTCGCAGATACATAAACACTAACACAGTCACAAATCACCTATTTTCCTTAGAGAGAAAAAACTAGTATTTATTTGCAAATATCTTGACAATGATTTTCATATGATGCGGCCCTGAAATCTTCTAGCCTGAAATCTAAGAAAGTGCTATTGATATGAAGTGACTGCTACCTCATAAGAGAGATAATCCACAGCTCAAATATAAGCCGAACTAAAAAAATTACTGTTTCGCCATTTTGTTATATAATGTTCGATGCATTAAAGGCAAAGCTGTACACGCTTTGGCATATAGAACAGGACGGTTCTAAGCTGCCTGAAGATAGCATTAAGCGTAAAGCCCGGAGTTGGAACTTAAAATTGTTTTACACACCAAAGTGTACAAGCTGAGCTAGATAAATTTGACATAGAAAATTCTAATAGATAAATCGTCTATTTTAGAAATGTAAAAGAAAGAGACGTTTAATTACCTTGATAGAAGTGATATCACTTTCTAAAAACGAACGTATTCTTTCGGGCAAAGCAGCTGCGACCTCCAAAAGGCCTTCAAGTGCAACTGTCTGTAGAGATGCGCCTAGCATGGAAAAGCAGCTGACATAAGAAAAACTGCCATGTAACCTAAATGGCTACTTCAAGAAAAATATGTACAGGCCAAAATTTGATTGAAAGAAAGAAAGTATTTAAAAAGGAATGTAAAAAGTCGGTAAATTTACTTACTTTAATTTTGCTTGCATTAATTACTTCTCATTAGCCTACTTACTAGCAAATATTTTAAAGAAATGAAATGACGAAAGACCAAAACTTTGATTAAAACAGAATGCAGTAATTTCTAGATCAACACATTATCTGAGTGATTTTTTAGAATTTGTTTCATAAATTTGCTCATTTTTTGTGCAGGGTTCACCATCTGTCCTGTCCGCTATTCAAATCTATATTTGTTTGGATACAAAGCGTTCTTTCAGACATAATCTAATTTTATCATCAGACATTTATCAGACATAACGCTATCCCAAGTGTTAGACAAAAATAGGTTTTATTTGTGCGCAAAAAATAGGTTTTATTCCCTTCTGCTATTCACTGTCCTCCTGAGAAGATATAATTACATATTGGCACTTACAGGGAACATAATCAAACAGACGTAGCATGAAAATATCGTATGAAATTTTGCATAACAAAAAAACCAAAAACCAAACAAAGAATAAACACAAAGCATAAAAACACAGAAATGAAACAGCACCAACCCGCAGCTGAGACCAAACCAAGCTTTAAAATTCCAATATATCGGCCAACACAAGACACTTCGACATCTGCTGAAAAGAGAAAAACATACGTTAACAGTTTTGCAACATATGACAACAATGCATGTCTATTTTGTGTAGCCGAATCTTTTCCGGAATCAAAGTTACTTGGTTTTCACCAAAGATCCAATCGATGGCTATATTATTGCCTCTTTCCCACATACGAGCATAAAATAAAACGTACCCCTGCTTTCCCTAAGAAATCTTTTGCAAATCTACCATTTACAACTTCAGACTCCTTTTATAGCTAAATATTGAATTGTCATTTAGTAAGCAAATTTTGAAAGCTAGCAATGTTAACTTTACACTGGGTACCAGACTCACTTTATAAAAAAATAAAAGAGTATGGTTCAGTGCGACCGGACCTCGTTCCGGTGAACTTATTTGAAAGAACTTAAGTCAATTTAACAGATTGGAAACTAGGACTGTGAAACCAGACTTTATTTACTACATTTCACTAAAAGGCGGCCTAGTTTCTGTGCAATTAGTGACACTGCCTGAAATTTCAGAGGCTTTTCAAAGCCAGTATGACGAAGGTTTCCCTTCTTTCACAAAACTTCCACAAAATGAGGGAAATATTCTTTCACTGCAGTTTTAACAGCGTCTTCAAATGTAATCGTTTATTAAACGGTCGCCATCATTAATTTACATTTATGTTGTGTTCTGTTCAACGTTTTACACCAGAGCAATAACGTTTATTTTTTCGCTGTGACCTTTGAACGTACAGAAATCTATACACTTGCTCCTGATTGGTCAATATCGGTACACCAAAACGAGGGGGAGGCGCACTGAACCAGACTCTCTCTTACAGTATTGCATATAGTGTGCGTCTGGTACCCAGGGTATGTTAGTTTCAGCTTCGATTATGTGCTTCAGATGTTTCATCTTTACTTAAGAAAAGCTAAAATAATTAATAGGAATATGCAAAATGAGCTATAGTGTAAAGACAAAAGGCATAAATCAACATAACTATCACCTTCATTTGTCTCTAGCACAGAGTTTAAAAAGTCTGCAACATTTTTTAATGTATCTTCCATTGCAAGTTGCTGCTTTGTGACGTCAGAAGCTGCGTGGAGACTTTGACGCAAATACAGAAGGACCTTCAAGAAGTGAAAAATTTTTAGAGAAAAATTCAAAAAAGACAAATAGAATATATATTGTTATCATAACCAAGGGGTAAAGTGTTTAATCGGGAAATATTTAATGCGAGTTTTCAAATGAATCATTGTGTAACAAAATAGCGAAAATTGTAATAATAAAGTACATTTTGCAGTCCACATTTCTTGTGAGACTTTATCTAAAAAAAGAGCAACCCAGCGACTTTTTTAATTTGATTGTACAAAAACCATATTCTGAGATTCTAGAGAATAGTTACAACAGGCAGAGTCTCCAATAACTAGACACTGCTGTAGTTTAAGGCCATTACCTGTTCAAAGATGGGACTAGGGAAAACAAGGACATTCTCTTTCGAGCCACGCAGTTTGCTTGCAATCTAAGAAATTAACAGAATTTTGTGTGAAGAAAAATCAGCCTGGTTGTAAAATGTAAAAACAGTTTATGTTTGCATATGTTACCCAATCAGGATATAACCATTAACATGCTTACAAAAGTTTAGACCATATTATTGGTATAAACTGGATAAAACTAGCACATCTAATAATCTAACTGCTACAATTACAGCATTGGCACGATTAAGCAAAGGAGAAAATGGATATCTGACGATGCAGGCTTCAGAGATCTGAACATGATAGAATATAGGTGACCCCTATTTGTACAAGATTTACCTTCAAGTTCCAAAATAAAGATAACATCGGAAACAGAATACCTTAATATGTAGAAAATCACAAAGTTCAGCGAATGAAGGATATTTTCCAATGCTCTTTTCTAAATCTTGATCTTCACCGTAACTAGGTTTCAGCCCACGCTTGGCTTCCTCTCTGACATCATCTTTCCTGAAATTAATTGTCAATAATACAATTATTCAACGTTTATACATCATAATAACTATCAAAGCAATGAATGGTTCCATTTGAGATTTTGAGGATTGTATCTGTTTCTTTTCCGACAAATAATGAAAATGATGATAATAAAGGAGATTATGATGATAATGATAATAAAATATATCAATAAAAGTGATACTCTACACAGACATTAAGTGTCACGTGTTTATTTAAAGATACTACAATGGCTTAAGCCACCTATAAATCAACATTGACCAATCAACAAGCGTGATGCCACCCAGGAGCTTCTTGATTGGCCAATAGTTTATTGATAGCTCTATTAAGCAATTTTAGTATTTGTCTGTTGTTTTTAGTATCAAATGCCAACATTATCAAATCAGGTTTTGATGAAACATGCAGAAACTTTTGGGAACTAGTACCCAATATCTTTCTATTTCAGTCTAAAGACGCTTCCTATCGCCCAAACACATATCTTATTACTTCAAGACAATTTCTTAATAGGATAATGATCGGTAGAGTACTTTTCCAGAAAAGCAATGTCCTAGTAAAGACTTACACATCTGTTGACGAAAGCAGACAGGCGTATCTTGATGGGACATGGGTCACAGGAAAGACACCGTTCGCAAACTGAAGAGCAGCTAGTCGGGCCTGGGAAGACTCCTGAAAAAAAATTGGATATCTTATTTAACTTCAGGGTAAATACTTCAGGGCAACGTATGGGATACTGTCACCAGAAAGACGATCCTTTAGCAATGAAATTGGTTAAACACATGGTGTCCTGGAAAAGTTGAAATTCCAGCTGTTTATCATTGGGTAATAACAATCCAATTTCGAACATCTTCTAAATCATAGACTTTCGATATAGGTGTTCCAACATAATTTTCCATATCTTTTGGCATATATCATATTTCAGTGTTTTCTGTAGACAATCATTTTTTCTAACAAGTTTTTTACAAAATACCTCACCGGTAAAAGCTACCGTACACTAGAGTTTGCTTTTTCTAACGATGACGATGATGATGACTTATCATGTCATTAAAAACTAGGGTAAAAATAAAACGAGGAAACGATTCCATCCCGACTAAAAAATTGCGAAATATGGAAAGAAATAACAAAAAGCAAAAGACGTTATAATTTTGCAGGTTAAAGTGGTGGCCTCAAAATCTGGTCTGAAACAGACTGGCGTACTAAAAGCATTTGCCCTTCACTCCAGTGATCATCGTCTCACGCACACTGAGCCTAGATATTTTCAATCAACGCTAAGTAAACTGGTGACATCAATCCGAAAATAGTGTAGCTGACTAGAAAATTCAACGTTAATAAGGTGTGGCTGGCTGGCGACCTGTAACTTTGTAAACAGACAGTATGCCTGCGTAATCGGAAGCTTCAAAAAACAAAGTTTGCTTTGACTCATCAGATATCAAAATACAACGATGGTTAGAAATGCCATCCTTCATATTTTTAATGAAATGTTTGCACTTCCACCACGAACAGTATAGTTAAATAAAAAACAATTTTTTGGCGGTACAAAATTTGAAAATGGCTTTGAAAAAGGCTAATACTTTGTAACATACTAAAGCTTTTTCTTCTGACACTCCTCTGCTGAGTATAAAACGTCAGAATAAGGATCCAAAAGAACAAGATGGAAAATACATACCCAGATATGGATCGAAATAGTCCCAACTAAACTTTTAATAACATTTCACAAACGATATGTCGGGCTTGATATTGTAATGGTTGTGGGTTTCAGATATATAGAATGCGCATTATTTACGCTAGATTATTCGTTATCATATAAATTTAGGTGAACCTTTGAAACTTTGATTTTCAAGATTAGTCTTATACCACGTTGCCATAATCAGGGGAGTCGTAAAAGGGGACAGGGGTGCCTGGGTCCTCCCCAATATCCTAGAAGGACCCAAAACTAAAACGTTTGCAGATCGAGGAAGAAATACTCCTAGTGCGTTAACTGCAATGTGCAGATGTACTGACTTCAAAATTGAGCATGTTGGCACTTAACCCTCTCTTCCATGACTGTGTTGGTTTGTCCGTTACCTCTGTATTTTTAATATAGTCATTCATTTCTATATGTTTATAAAAAAACTTGAATTCAAAATGTCAAAATCTTAACTACTCCAATGGCAATAATGTTGCTACGTCTTCACGTCTAAGACAGTGGGGCTAAGCACCCCAAAATAAATGTTTATGTTTACACTCCTGAATCCAGTTAGTCTTCACAGACCTGTTGTCCGTGATTTAACTATATTAAAAAGTCAAAATATACTTCAATGACAAAACTACCTGTAAACATGTACTAGTTTTGATAACATAAATCAAACACATTTCACCTTTTCCAAGTTGCTGAGTATTAATGTCTCCATCAAACTTGAATCAGTTCCGGTAATTCCATGATAAGCTGGGGCAATCATTGACAATGCCTCTTGGACCGATAAGACAATCTCTCTTTCTTCCTGTAAACAAAATTGAGTCTAGACAAAAATGCTGCACCATTTGACTTAATACACCATTTTGTTTTGCAAAAGAAAACAAAGGAATTGACACCCACAGTGAACAAAATGTTTGTCGATCTCTCTACAAACAAAATGTACATCGGTCTTTCAGTTCAGTGAAATGGACGCATTTTAGGGGCGTTCAGTACTAAACATGCAGGATTCATTACTAAACATCAAGCAAGTAGAGAAACATTTGAAAGTCAAGATACGACTTGCAAATTGAATTGACTTGGTCTAAATGTGCTACATGCTATCTTTGGCTAGTTTTGTTGTTGTAGTATCTAGTGCAGTGAATTAAGGCTTTGGAATACTCATCCCTAAACAGAGTAAACAAAGCATGAATATTGAGTAACAATGATAACAATGCAATTCAATTGGCTAGGAAAAGTTGCTTGGTTTCGAAGGAAGATAATGCATATTTTTATATAATCATGACACTATCCAAAAGCGAATATGCAAACCAAACATACCTCTTCAAGCACATTGAAAAGCTTCTGCACAAGTGCAATATCTCTTTTAAAAAGGCCGGTAGCGCGTCTAAAAACAGAATAATTCACATTCTGTAAGTCTGAATCATTCGTGATAACTGTGGCATCAATGCAACAATCCTTTTAAAGATAGCACGGAGAAACATGAAGCATACTTTTAAGCTAATCTTAAGCCTGTTTGGCAAATTAAACAAATACAAGATAGTTTTTCGACATTTTCTTCTTATGAATTACATTTTTCAAAAACAAATGCTGAAGGGCCATAGAAGAAAAGTTACTGGGCAGTTTCGAACTCAGCTTTTCATCAGGTACCATAATGACAAGATAATGAAAATCAAAAGCGCAAAACTTTGTGTACATCTTTGTGTGCAATTTTTCATGCTGCATTCTCTTTTTTGTTGCATTATTTTCTTGTTGGATTTTAAAAGGATCAAGTTTATACTTATCCAAACTACGCACAACACCCACAATGGTTATTTTTTCAATATCACATATCAGTTTGACTTTATCTTTCATAAGACCAGGCATGGTATTTATAAGAGTGGGGCCAGTTGCAATAAGGTTATTATTCGCATTATGATCAATATGTGTTGCTTGAAAAATTATTTGTATGACTTACTTTGAAAGTTTCCCAAGGCCAGAATAGGCGAGACTTCGCAGTTTCAGTTCCTGGTTGGAGGTGAAAATGATTAATTAAGTCAAAAATAGCAAACAGAAAGGACATTCTTATTTTCCTTCAAGCAAGAGCTATTTTAATCTATAGCAAGAGACTGAGAACAAAAAGCTACTACAGGATGCTTCTCGGTACTAAAATCATTGAGGATATAGCAGGGACAGTGCTTTAAGCATATTAGTTAATTCACTAGCTCCCCTACGAAGCCCGCTACGCGGGCTTGCCAGTGGCCCTACGGCAGGGTACATAGATTAGCCTCGGAAAAGACAAGAGGTGTATTAACCTCGATTTGAAAACAATTGGCTCCGCACAGGTCACGTGATCAAAAAAATTGCTTGCACTCTTGTGCGCATTAAATTCGCACTCCTGTGACTATCGCTAGTCAGGGGGTCGCCTGAAATAGAGAAGGGGTAGAGGCTCCCCCCTTCCTAGCGATAGTCACAGGAGTGCGAATTTAATGCGCACAAGAGTGCAAGCAATTTTTTTGATCACGTGACCTGTGCGGAGCCAATTGTTTTCAAATCGAGGTTAATACACCTCTTGTCTTTTCCGAGGCTAATCTATGTACCCTGCCGTAGGGCCACTGGCAAGCCCGCGTAGCGGGCTTCGTAGGGGAGCTAGTCTTCCGTTAATTGAAAGTTGCTTCAAAACATTTGTAAGCCCAGGTCTATTCGTGTTCTTCGTTTAAATATTTTAATGGTTTACCACCTAAGTAAGCCCCCCTTGCATAAGCCCCCCTCGAATTAGCCCCCTGGGGGCTTATTTATTTTTGATATTTTTGGATGGGGGCTTATTCGAGGGGGGGGCTTATACGAGAGGAGGGGCTTATAAAATTATTGTAGACATTAAAAAGAAATTATTAAAAGATCTCGTTTATTTTAGTAGGAATTTCTTTATGAGCTTTTAATTAATTATTACCAAAAGTATGAGTTTTTGTGGCAATTCAAGAAAATGCCAAAGGAAACCTCAGATGGCAAAAATTCATCAAAATAAGGGGGTCGGTCCAATTCTAGAATTAACGGTAGCAGTGGGGGCTTATTGAAATTTTTAGTTCTAGGGTGGGGGCTTACTCGAGTGGGGTTATTTCGCGGATTTACGGTATTTGTAAATCTTGCCGCGGCTATCGGGTGCACGCGTAGCGGGGCTCTTAGGGGAGCTAGTCTCCCGTTCACTGAAATGTGCATACAGATTTAATGCATTACGGTTGCAATATCGAGGCAAGTTTGAAACTTGCTTAAATACATTTTGCGAGCCCCGGTCTATTCGCTGTTCTCGTTTATGTATTTTCACGGGTTACCCCCTCAAGCTCTACTGTTTTTTCTGATTTCAATGATTAAGTTTTTTATCACTACATTTCTTTTAGCCCTTGTGGGGCTCGTTTAATATTGGTTACATGTGGGTATGCTCGAAAATGCGGCCAAGCTTTTCGCAAAAGAAAAGAGTTTTCGTGCAGAATTTTTCTTATGAGTCTTTATTTGATTACCCTTGCCACCCCTCCGTACTTTTCAACTGGCGTCGGAGCATAGATATCGCTGCTGAAGAGAGAGACAGAAAAATGTTTTGAAAACTTTCTGAAAAGATATGAATGAGCCCTATAAAACTTCTGAACTAATTGCGAAAGCCTGTTGAAAAACGTTGACAAAGGTTCTCCCATAGAATTTCCATAAATGAGCAGCGATGGACAATGGCAACGCGATAAGAAAAAATATTATATTGCGGATTGCGGAAAGCTGTTGTAAAACGTTGACAAAGGGTTCTTCCATAAAATCTATACGAATGAGAAGCGATGTACAATGGCAACGCGATAACGAAGAAAAATGTTATATATCGAAAAAACCAAGGCAGAAATCGAAAAACGAAGCTCGCCATGTAATATTAGAACCCCTAGTGGAAAGCTGTTGTAAAACGTTGACAAAGGGTTCTTCCATAAAATCTATACGAATGAGAAGCGATGTACAATGGCAACGCGATAACGAAGAAAAATGTTATATATCGAAAAAACCAAGGCAGAAATCGAAAAACGAAGCTCGCCATGTAATATTAGAACCCCTAGTGGACCAACCCGTAAAAATTGAGCAAAATAGGACCAGCGGCGTGAGAGGAGATACTGCTCGCAAAACAATGGCGATCAGCAGCAATATCAGCGTTTTTAGCTCATTTGCATATTCACATATTAGTTATAGTAGATAAGTGACATTTCAAGAGCTTAGACAGCCTCCTTACAGTACTTACTTTGCGAAACGTAAATATATCCCCAGAACGTTCTGATAGTAAAGAAAAAAGAGTCAGTAATCATAATCATCATACCTGCTTTTTGTCAGAGATGATCTTGATGAAAGCTTGGTATAGCAATGGAGAAACAAAGGACATTGTTTTCTCTGACCCAAAAAGACACAAATGATGACAAAACTCAACAGCATATTTCTTCAATCGAGCATTGGTTTCTTCCCCAAAGAGGCTCTCAAAAATTATCTACGAATAAATTTTTACACATGCAATAATAATCATAATCAAAATGAATAAAATAGAAAGAGACAAAACATGAAATTTCTTTTATCAAGTGACTTAGAATTTTGTTTAAGGACGTTTTCCAGAACAAAAATGAACAGATATTGATTAGATTGGATTATTTTAAAATTATTGAAAAAGCTCAGGAATCTATAATTTTCATAGCTAAATGTAACAGAAATGGATTTAACATATCAACATTTGCATTTATTTGAAGTCTTAACTTTTCACGTATTGAAAAACTGGAACTCTAAAGAAATTACTTTTAGGGCTATAAAATCGTTTACACTCAAGTAAGTAGCACGGAACGATTTTATGTCACCCCTCCCCCCCCCCTCCATACCCCGTTTTAAGCTTGATGTCATATCAAGACAAATAGCATATCTTATGACAATACAACAAGACAAACAGTATCAACCTTCAGAGCCAGAATCACAAATTGATACAAAGAGTTGTGCAGATTCTGGGGCTTGTACAAAACTTTTGCTATGTCTATTGTTTCAAGTGTTTAGAGTTGCTTGTTAATTAAGGTTTCGTTGTATTCATTCGCAGCTCAATCGCAGCACTATTCTCACCTTGATGGCTGCAGCAGGATTTCTGTTGGCAGCTGATCTCGAGCGAATTATATATGGGAATATTTTCATTTTCAATCGCATACTTGCAGGAGACCTTGCCTGATCTGCAGTTAAAGCCTGGAAAAAAATAAAATCAATTTCTTAAGCATTCTGGCAAAAAACATGAACATCAGTGAAATAACGTTAACAAGTACATTATAGCCTGCTTGAATAATAAGGTTTTTTCTATTGAACGCTTTATTTCTCTTCATTTTAAGAGTCAAATTGTGTTTTGTTATTTTGCAAACAACATGCTGTGTATGTAAAAATTGCTGAGAAAACAACGAACAACAAAAATAAGTTTCATTACTTTTCTATTTAGAACTTATGTTTACATCAAAGTGAAAAAGGTCCTTAATAACAATTGAAGGGTGTATGATTTAAAAAACCTGTCGGCTGGTTTTTCATATTGTAGGTTATTTTATGCAAGGATTAGTGTATAGGAGGAGAAATATAAATTTTCTAAGATAAAGGTGGTCCATTGCGAAATTCTGATGACAATAAAATAAACTACTAAATCTGCAATTTCTATAAAAGTTTTTGGTTTTTATTCAGATAAAATAGCGATTACCTGTTTTGCGTTTCCTGGGGCAACAACAGTTCCTTGGAAAGTTTTCAATAACTTGTCAACTATTTCGCTCTTTTCCCAATCTACAGCGCTTAAAAAACAATAAATTTAACACGATCACAGTGACGCTTTCATCTTTTCTGACTAGGTGGACAATAGTCGGTTTGTTTTCAAGCCTTCTTTCAAAGGGAAGGAATAAAAACTTCGTGATTTATATGTAATGTCTATATGCAAGATAAATCAAACTTGAGAGATCAGTTCTAGAACGTGACACAAATAACAAATCATGTGCAAACATAATACCAGAAATTTATGCAAAAATATAGCTGCTCAAAAGATAATTAAATACCTTGATAGTCTCTTAATACAGTGCTCTCCTTTGTCAGACACACTAAAAGATTAATGAAAATAAAGAATTTATAATGCTTTTATAAAGTATACCAATAGAACGTCTTGCAATAAGTCAGATAATATTTGAGAGCATTAAACCCTTGTACAACCCCTGAAATTATATTGCTTTTTAATGACTTGGGAAAATAGGCCGTAAGACAACTAAAAATAAAAGCTATTTTTAGTATTTAGCATCAATATAGCATTAATTAGCTATATTTACAAGTTATCATGGCAAGTGAATTTACACGAAATCCAAATCAAAGAGGTTGAGCTGAAACACGTTTTGAAAACAAAAAAAATACCATTTACCAAGAAACTTTATTCATTTGATCCTTTGGCAAAAAAAGCCTTTGCACAGAGGGATAATTGGAAAACTTCCTGTACAAATTGTTTCTTACAAATAACAAGGGTCATTAGAGTTGATGAACACAGGCACGAAACTGGTCAATTATGGGTTATAAGAAAAATACTTTAAAATATTTCATGCTCTGATTAATGCACCAATTGATTTAGCAAATAGTAAAAAAGCTACAATCAAGAGATGATTTTATCAAGCCAATGTAAATTGCATATACAGGAAAGGCAACTTATTGATATGAAGGAAACAGTAAAATGTGTTTAATTGATGATTAGTTTGTGTTAGTAAAGCCTTGATGTTCAAAGTATCCCATTTTCCATTGATTAATTTTGGCAGGTAATGTTTAGTTAAGAAATGGAAAGGCATGCAAAATTCTGTGTCACCAATCTGCTTTCTTTTTCAAAAATAAGCAACTTATTTTATCCAAAAATAAAAGCTGATAACCTTCAGGAATATCCATTTATGCAGAAAAAGGGAACAACTTTGAATAATTTTTTCTTGTAAGGACATTGAAAAATTCATGTAGATTTTCAATGTATGTATAATTTAATATAAGGAAGAACAACTTAACCAAAGATTAACTTAATGAAGAGTCAGCTGAGAAAAGATTAAATTGTCTTAACTCACCTGTGTTTGCTGTCTCCAGTTGCAACAACAAAATGAACAATTACATCAACAGCAGGTAAAACTTCAGAGCTAGTGATCTTCAATATTCCAAGTTTTGCCTAAGATATGAAAACTTACATTTTCATAAAACCAGCAATTGGTTCAGCAAAAGATTATGCACTGAATTTTCTTGTCAACAAAAGGAGAGATGGCAAAGGGAAAGTGCTGCATTTGGTCTGCTTCTAATGATTTTTAAATGAGTGAAATCTTCAAAGAACACATAGAATAAGTGCTCATTTCTGTGAATGCTTTATGGAGTTCTTTACATTGACTACAAAGATTTATGGCCACAGTAGCTGAGCTGAGCTCAGAATTTCTACATACACCAACTTTTCTGCTGTGACAACACATGTTTTGTAAATTTCTGTATTCAACATTAAATGTAGAAACATTTGTTTACATAAAATAATGACCTGTTACATAAAATGAAATGTTGCAGCTTTGTTGAAGCATTTGATATTTACCTGGGACCTTTAAGCATTACATGACATAGACATGAATAAAAAATTATGTTTGTAGCAAATATAAAAATATTTCTTTGGTGCATTATTTATGTGGCTTGTGTGCAAGAAACACCAAGGTTTCATTAAAAATGTTTAAAAAAATGACAAGGCACTGTAATTGAATTGTGATAATATTGCAACTAGGAAGGGTCAAGGAAATGTGTATTTAGAGAATTTTTGATAAGATTTCAAAGATAACTTTGGTAAATGATTACCAAGATAGTCAGTCAAAACTTACCTGCTCAATCTCATTTGAGGTCAATGGTGGATCAAATTTAAATCTCTGGAAGGCAACTTTACTAAGGCCAGCAGGAATACTGGCAGAATTATGAGAATCTTGTGTAGATACAACTGCATCATTGCTGAAAAAAGGACCAGAAGATTCAACTTTTACGTTTTTTAAATATATTAATGACTAATATGATTCATAATATGAAATCTATTTAGAAAACCTTTCACATACTTGAAAAGTACAATAAGCATTTAGCAATCAAGTTCTCAAAACCTACTTATATCATAAATTGCAAATCACAAGTAATTGAACAACTAAAAAATAAAAGACCAAATAAAAAATCCCCCCTTATGTACTCGACATTTAATAACTTCATACCAAAGATTTTGATCTTAACAAGAGCTTGAAATTTACCTGTATGGCAAAAACAAAAAGTCCATTGAAAAGTCTAAGAAAAGTGAGCATAGTTGTTTGTCATCAAAGAAAGTGATAGTTCTCTTCTTTGCATCAATGTCATCTGGCAATTTTATTTCATTCAGTAAAGGGACAATCATCTGAAGAAACCTTTAGAAAAGAAAGGACATTAGGGAGATTGTCAAAGTTTGTTATTATCAAGAGCATTTAATGAATAAATATTTGCAAAAAGCCCTGGAAAAATTTTTAAGAACCCATGTTGAATAAGAGGTATGACTAAAAAAGATTGTATCTCATATTTGGCAATTGGCAGAGATTTGTCGAAATGCTAATTCTACAGCAAAATTTAATGTCAAGATACTCATAACAAAATTGAAAAGGAAATTGGAACATAGAAGTGAGGAAAGGTAAAGAAAAGGTAAAGAGAGGGAGCCTTGCAGAAAAGAAAGATTAAAGGCAAAACATAGAAATGCAAAGCACCTGAAGAAAACCAACAAGAAGATTCCTTAATACAGAGTTATCTTTATTGGCTCTGTTACTAATTTGAAAGATGATAAGTGAAGTTTGAACAGATGATGGGATATTTGATGGTCCAGAGATAGAAGAGTGAACACCATGATTATTTGTTAATTTAAAAGGTTCTTTTTAGGGAAGCTCTTGCAGACTTAGGAGAGGACTGTATTACAAGTTACAGCTTAGATAAAATATTTGATAAATATAGGTAGTAGAGATTGCTTCAAATTCTTCATTGAATTGACAGGTTAATTAAATCTTGACATAACATTGCATAGATGCTATGTCACTGAGTTCTGGGCTCTGGTCAAATTCAAAGTAGACACAGCCAGCAAATGCAACACAATCTATGGCATGCTGTTTCTGCTTTGCTTGAATGTATCTTCTGTTTTCATAAAAAACATTTGATGCATGCATACATTTCCTGTTGTTGTCTTGGTCTTTGCTTCATAAGCTGAAAAAGCCTTGGAATGAAACTCAACCGGTCTGTCAACTCCAACCTCTTGAATCCCATTCTTATGTAAATCAATGTAAAATTCTACAATATAAAACAAAGTATTACAACACATGCCAACAATATATCATTTCTAATTTCCAACATCTGATAAAAAATGAAAACAATGAAAGTTGGGAAGTCAGAAAGTGAGAATATTATTAAGCACTGTTGTAAAAATTGAAAAAAGATAAGATATTCAGGAAATGACAACAAGAAGAAATGTACCAATAGCTGACAATCAGCAAATTAATTTCAATCTTCACAACAATTATCACAGCTACTTACAGTGACAAACTGGTGTGTGCTCTTATCCTAAAATTTAAGACAAAAAAATAATTGTAAGCTGGAAAAATGATCATGCCTTGTAAGATAAAGTTATATTTGTGTCCTTCCCCCTTTGCTATTGATAATGAAAGAACAACAGGTATTATGAGAGTTTCAATTGCTGGGATGGTTTCAAAAATCCTAAAATATTTAGAGCTTTTTCATCAGTTCTTAGCTGGACTTTCAATTTTAAACATCAGCCCAAAGTACCTCGGTTTTTAATTTTCAAAAAATTTACCTTCTTTAAAGAGAATTTTTCTTAACTGAATGTGCATCAATGGTACTCTCTCGTGTCAACTAAATGTCTCAATAGTCTTGAATAAAATTTTGTAGATAAAAAATGTTTTATTCATAAAATCAAATTATAGAAATTTCATTGCATAATATAACATTACAAACCTCATATTGCTTGAGAAGTGACTCTAAAGGTAGTTTTATTTTGGTACTGCTTTTTAACCTTTTGTTTATATGAGTAAGAAGTTCAATGACCTGCATGAAATGATAACAAAACCAAGATAGCTTTACATAAGAACAGCTTTTAAATAATAAAAAGTAAAAGGCTTTCCAAAAATATTACACCTAACAAATTAGATTTACACTGAAATGTGGGATAGAGTTAATCTCAAAGTTTTTGATTCCAAAAATCACAAACATTTTAAATACCAACTTTGAATGTGTTCAGTCGGTTAGACATAATTAAATCTAACTCTATCTGCAAGTTCACCTATAAATATAAAATTCCTAAATATTACACCTAACAAATTCCTAAATATATATAAACAAACTTGTTAAATGAATACACCTGAAATAAAACAAAATCTAGAAATATTGATACTACAAGGAAATTTTGAAAAATAATGATCCATTTAATTTACCTTATTTTTCACAACTTCTTTGTTGCTGCCAAGCTTTAAAAGAACAGGAGCAAGGAAAGTAGCAAATGCTTTTTCAAGCTTCTCATCAGTGTCTGCTAGCACAATTTTCAAGAACACTTTTTCAACAAGTTCTGTGTACCAGGAAAAAGAGTACAAAATATGATTAATAAAATATTCAGTCCATACAATACAGCTAATTTTATATCTTCCTATAACAGACCTTCCAGGTCTCAAGCATTTTGCATGAGACACACACATTCCAGCCTGTTTTTGCATTCAAATGCATCAAACTAGAATTATCATGCATTCTAAAAGAAGTTTATAGATTTATTCAATTTTTTAGCTTTTTTCTGAATCTTAGAAAACCCTCTTCCCTAACAAGGCCTGGCTAAAGAAGAGATAAAGACTAGATAACAGCAAATCTCCAAATATTAAGTAATGCCATATTTATCAGAGATCTAATTCAGTAGAATCGTTTCTTGCGTGACCTGAATAACAAGCTAGCTCTATTGCAAAATGAGACCCAGACCCAGTAAAATTCATAGGAAGGGCAAGAAACATAGATGTAACAAGATTTTATTCTTTTTTATGAAATTGAGCATAACAACAACATCAGAACTGAAATAAAAAAATGTTTTGATAAATTGAGATATTCTCATGTTTATTCAGCTTTTAGGTTTTTCCTCTCAAAGTTCAACACTCTGATAAAAAACATGTTCAATTTCTGGCAAGATCTGAAGTTTTCCAGCAAAATAGCAGTTTATTTTTACAAGGGTTTTTTGCCCCCTCTAGCACCCTCTATCTACACCGCTGCAAAGGACAATGATCTCCCTTTCATAGCACAAGAAGATTTGGAAGCATCCAATAATTGAAGAATGGCTAGAACAACCTGCAAAATGAGACTGTTAGAGAGTATAAAGGGTGTTTACTCAAAGTAGTAGTTTCTGAAAGAACTAGAGGGTGCAGCGAACAAAACATGTTCTATAAGCCAAGCCTCCATAACAATATCAGAATTAACCCCAGATCCACCCTTGGCCTTGAGATCACATAGGTACATACACCCTAGGTGCAAGACCATTCTCCTCCTGATTTCTTGGATTAGAGATCACATAGCAGCCCAAACATTTCCCCACCATTTCAAATAAACTCATTCATGTTCAAAACTGAAACTTTACAGGTCTGAATATGTTTCAAATTTTTGTTAAATCATATTTGACTGGACTTACATTCAAGAATCATAGATAGAGGTGCTTAGCTTTGTTTTGGAAAAAATCAAATATTAGAATATCAACATGCTAAAAAGCTATCAAAAATGAGTTTAAATTTAATATTAGGACAATAGAAAACTTGATAAACCCACCTAATTCGTTTATTACTTGGGCGTTGGGATTTTCCGTAGCTGGCCTGCCTCCGTCCGCCATTGCGATTTGTCGTGAATTAATGCAACATCATCGTGATACGCGGAATCTGCCGAGCCCGCGGGACGAAACGTTGTTAACGTCAAGGCTCCGAAGGAGCAAACAGTGCTTATTTTAAACATTTCAAACTTTCTGAAAATGAACAATGGCTGCAACAGATCGAGAACACGAGGGAAGCAAAAATAAACTGTGTACAGAAGATAAGATTTGTCAGCAAAAGCAAAAAAGAGAACAAATACCTCTAAATTTGAAGAAAACCGCTGTGAGAAAACGCGAGAGATCAGAAGGCGAGAATATTTTCCCCAAACAACAAAGACAAGAGGGCCTATCTTGGTGGACTTGTTTGATGCTGGACATCCCACAGGAGAATCGAAGTGGCATGAAAGTACCTATATATCACCAAAAATAGAATATTGGTAAACTCTGTACAGAAATTTGTTTCACAATGGCAAGTTAAAAAGGAAGTCAGAGAAAGTTTTGTTTAAAATTGAAGTATGGTAGAAAGAAACCTTTGAGCATGGAAAAAATGGTCAATTTGTCAATTTTAGATGTTAGGGGTACTGAACTACCTCCTGAACCTGAGAAGCCATTTCCTAATGATTGCTGTGGATCAGGATGCTCGCCTTGTGTTTTTGATATATATGAAAGAGACATGGAGTTATGGAGAAAAGAGTGTTTGTTGACCAAGCATAATAATAATAACAAATCTTCATCTGAATCAGAGCATAATGCTTCCCTGTCATTAAGCAAGTATACCTCTCTTGAACTCCAGTCAGTTACTGAGCTGAACACTGATACATCAAGTTATCGATTCAAACTTCCAGAAGGTACATCACTGAAACTAGAGGTAGGACAGCATTTGTTGCTCAGGTAATGTACAGGTCCAACTTTTATTCATACTAACATTTAAGTTCGCCTTTCTGTGAAAGTCTGGGACAGGAGCATTTATGTCGTGAGAGGTTAGGAGGTGCCACTTCTCTTACAGATGGCTGGCAAAGTAGTTTGTTGTTGGAGGGTGTTCTATTCCTGAAGGTCAAAATGCACCATTTGAGTTTAAGGATAACTTTGATTTCATTTTAATGTTTAATGTGATAATTTTTAATTTTTTCAGCTCTGTAAATTCTAATTTCAGGTCAAAAAAGGAAGACAAAATTGTAACCAGATCATACACACCAATAACTTGCAACCAAGGACACTTTGATGTAATCATTAAGGTATCATTCTGTGAATTCTGTCCCAGATTAATTTAGAAAAGGGCATATTCCGTTTATGCATTCTTTACTATGTATTTTAATTATTGCCAAAATTTCATCCATTTTTGGATTCCTTGGTGAAATCATGAACATGAACTGATTTCTGATCCCAATTTTGAACAGGTGTTATTGGCTTAACAAGACTTTTTAACAATTTGATAGTTCATATATGCACATGATTGCAAAAGGTCCTTAGCAAGTCAAAAAAACAAAAAAAAAACAAAATAAGGAGATCACCCTTTTTGTCAGTAATCTACACAGTCAACAATTAATTTTCCCAAATTTTCAACATGAAAAAAACTCCTCTTTGTTTAATAGCTTTTATTGTTTTTGCTGATGACTTCTCTGTTTTGTCTTTTTTTCCTACCAGCTGTTTATTGGTTCTCAAAATAATGTAGTGTAAGGTTTATCTATCTATATAATCTTTGTTATAAAATGTTAAAAGGACTTTTCATACCAATTATTAATACAGAGGTATCAAAATGGGAAAATGTCTCAATGCATATCGCAGTGGTCTGTTGGAGACATGGTTGAATGGAGAGGGCCTTTTGGCAAACTCAAGTACAAACCAAATGAGGTAAAGTGTTTTGTGGAGACATTTTAACCCATTTTTAAACAATGTAATAACAATATTTATGCAAATAATATGCAAATAATATTAAATGAAATTAAGAATTTAGCCAAGGTTTGTGTAGATTTAATCAATCTTGAATGCTACTCAATGGTGTCCAATGTTGCAGCCATTTGGGTGGCATAAAAATAAAACAGTTATCCATTTTTTCCTTAAATTTGGTTATTAACGACAAAAATCCCAAACTTCATAACCAGTGTCATAGGAACAACAATCATATTGTGGGCCTTGTCATTTATTTTCTTCTCAATCAAGACTCTGTTGTAAAGGAAATCAGGACTTTATTAGCCTGCTTGTAAGGGGACACTGCCCCCCCCCCCCAACAGCCCTACGAAGGACACAGGGAACATCTTTGCTATTATTGGGAGAATGAGCCACCTAGCCCCCTCCATGCTCTTTATATGGCCCTGATAACTGAATGCTGCCTCATTCCATAAAATAATATAGAAAAATATGGAATGTTAAAAAATATTATAGAAGAGAGTAGAATAGAATAAAATAGAAGAGGCAAGTTTGCAATGTTTAATTTTGCTTTTTTGTGCCAAGTAAATTCTTGTTTTTTGAGGTGTCAAAATATTTCCACCATATTTTTAGCTGTGTTGCCTATATTATCTATCCTTTATTTTCAGTATGACGAAGTAATAATGCTAGCTGCTGGCACTGGTATTGCCCCTATGCTTCAGTTAATCAGAGCGGTTCTTGGTAATGACAATGATGACACACGTTTGACACTTTTGTATAGTTGTAAAAAGGCTTGTGATATCCTGATGAAAGATCAGCTTGATGAGTTCAGAGCGTTTTGGAATTTCAATGTTACATACTTTCTAACACAGGTATATTCTTTGAAACCTAATTCTTACCTGATAAATCAATGACTCAAATAAATCAAAAGTAATCAATTTGGACATGTGGCAAGCGTTTATTTTTAGTTACAAATTATTAAAATTAAGACTTATTAAAATTCACCATTTGGCAGTTGAAACATTCCCCTCGATGTCAAATCGTCTTACTTCAAATTCAAAGGAAAGCATCAAAAAACCATATGTTCTCATTCTTTGTACATAACGAGCAAATCAGTGTTGTTTGAACGAAATTCACATTAGAGGGGGGGAGGGGAGGGATGCCTTGTCAGTTGCTTCCGTTCAGTTGCTTTCTTTTTATTATTTAGGAGCTGTAATAGTGTTTGACACTTATTGCCAAATCTTGTATGTAGGCAAATCCTAGTTTTAACAGCTCTAAAATCGCTCGAATCTCACGGAAAGTAATACATTTTTTGTTCAACTATTCTGACCAGGTATAACTTTGGATTTTCAATCTTAACATCTTGCTTTTTTATCGTGAAAATAACCCTGAAGACTTCGTTTGAGTTTTAAACGCATGCATTTTCACTTCCTCAATAGGCCAGTTTAGAAGACGACCAAAGCTGCATCAGATATGGAGATGTTATCCTCAATACAAGGATAGATAAGGATTTTTTGTTGAATATTCTACCCAAGGCATCTGACCGCACAAAAATCCTGATATGTGGAACGAAATCATTTGACAAAGACATGATAAACTATGCTTTGAACATAGGTTATCAACTGGACGAAATTTTTATCTTTTAAAGTGGTTTTCTAAATGCATCATAGCAGTCGCATTTCCAATAGATTTTAACAGCCTTTTGCCAATTATTGCGTTTTAAGCAAAGTACGGCTCAGTTTTCGCCTATAATTATCAGTATCTCAAAATCATGGTTTTTGTAATGTTATTTTGCAAGTGAAGTTTTCATCTGACATAATGAAATCATGTTTGTTCAGTGAACGCATTTGATTTTAGGCCAGAGCTGGCAAGTTTGCATTATACATTGTACATAACCTCCATTGGCTCATTGGCGGGTTTAAAGGGGGCAACTAGAGGAAGTTGCCCCTCCTTCGACGAGTTGAAACAAGTCTGGCGCCCTCTTTTCGGAAATTGTGCGCCCCTTTTGAAAAATAAGAATCAGGGCTCAAAAAGTCACAAATTGTATAACATTTTTCAGCGCCCCCACCACCAACTGCCCCTCCTTCAATTTTCCTCTGGATCATGAGCCCCTGCATTGGCTTGCTTTGCGTTCACAGCATATTAATTTAGCGATCTGCCATATTTAGGCAGCTGTTTACTTAAATGAGAAGAAAACAAAAAACTCAGCAAATGATGTAACTGGCCAATAGAACGCCTCAACTCCAGATCAGTCAATATTGCAATCTTTAATTACACGCGGCAATCATAGGGTAATTAAGAACCTGTCGTGTTTTCAGTTTAGTTGCGAAGTATAAAAAGACATGAATATTTCATGTGATATTAAAGTGACCAGAGGCAATATTTTGCCTTTTTTATTGATAACTGCTTTCCTTTTGTTGGGTTGAATGTGGTTTTATTTACATACATGGTTACGTCCTTAGAGGCTAAAAAATCCATAACAAATTCAATGTTATTGTCGCCTTTCTTTATTTTTATTCCGAAGTTCAACAGTCAGACCCCTCCCCTTGTGTACAGGATAAGAGGAAATCTCCTGATCATCTTGTAGGAGAAAGACTTCTTTATTTTGCTTTCAGATCCCCGTTGACACACCGATTTGTCCACTGAAGCATCTTAAAACTGTATATGTGCATATTCAAATGATTCAAATTTACCGTTTAGCAAATACTTTGAAAACGGTTTGACAAGCATTATGTTTATGCAAACGAGTGATTTGATTAAAATTAGGGATTTATGTATAGTTCATAGAATCATTTCTGGCTATGACATTTAATTTTATTAAATGCAGTTGATCGTTAATTTCGTTGCCATTATCACTGTACATTTGGTTTATTCCATATAAAGACCATAAACAATTCCAACAGCAAAGAAGTCATGTCCCTGGTGGCGGTACTCAGCATAATTGTCAAAATTGTTGTCAATGAGACACAAACTAGCAATCTTCACCCCTTGGTTGCAAATCTGACCAATGTGAACAAAACTAATGATTTTGTACCTATGGTAGTTCAATGCTTTCACTTTCTCCTTTATCGATTCACTTAAACTTTTTGCCACCGTTTTGCAAAACTCCGCGCGATAGGTTTTCCCGTCAAGATTCTTTTCAAACAGATCTTTGATTATATTTCGTACTTCACACTCATTGAAATACTTTCTAGGCTCCATTCGATAGAGATCGAGATTAATCCGTGGCGCTGGCGGTTGGCTGGCGCTCGTTAGACGAGATGACGGATTCGTGAACGGCGATCTGCTTGAAGAGTTCAGATAACGCGGTATTCCTAAACTACTCTGGGTAGCAAATGGCCTCAAACTGTACTCCATCTGTGGGATGTCAGCATGCGAAATGACTATACTTCCTTTATTTTCGAGCTTCTTTTTCTCAGCAACGAGAAAGACAGCTCTTGCTTTGATTTTCCTTGCCAATTTCTGTGCTCGTATCATGCCATAAATGCTATTCATGTTCTTTGGGCCACCGTCGAGGTATTCCATTGCCATTTTTAGCAGAATAATGCGCTGCTGTGGTCCTTCTTTTGCTGAAAGTACGGTTTGCAACTACTGAAAAAGTTATGGATTCACAGACGACATAACAGAGTTTAACAGCGACCAAGTACCTTTTGTGCACAGTCAAACATATACTATTGGTGCATGAATAATTAAACAGAATATCTATGTTTACAATGGAAAGAAGATTCTTTCATTCAGTTCTGTAGGGCGCGCTTTCAAGGCCATTATAGATTTTATTTTCACGTATCATAGCAGAAAAAAATAAGATCAAGAGAATTTCGTGTAAATGTGAACAGTTGAGCGACATCCTTTTGTCGAAAGACTTTGTGAGACAGGTTGCATCAAAGTTCTGGCATTGTTAGGCAATTATTGTATTGAAGCAGCGAAAATTGCTAAACAAAACAGTCTGAATTTGCTATGATTGGAAATCTGACATCTGTGTTCAGGAAGATTTATATTGAAATGAAGTTACTGAATTGCTGATATAATAATAAAATTTGTATTTGGAGTCATAGGACGTAAAAACATTCTTTTTTGTTGATTTTTTCTGCATAGTTGTAGTTTCGAAAACGTTTCGATTGCTTTAGCTGTTTCCAAAAGAGAAATTTGTTCGATTTCAGTTTGTTTTCGCATCCGTCTGCAGCAATAGTAATAACAACCTGTTCTAAGCTACGCAATGTTTCTGTCTTATTTTGTATTTCTGTCAATTTTTTTTTGTAAAGTCTGCTTTAGGTACACTCTTAAACACCTACTTCTTCCTCCTTTTCTTTCTTCATATTCCATGTTGCGCCTTTCAAATAATAGAAACACTGCTTGTAAAAAACTGACTTTAACATTAGTATACCGTGCTGTAGTGAAAGGGGACCTTACGCCAATTACCCCATTTATAGGGGAATATGTAATATTTACTAAAGTTGAAGCATTTCCAAGGTTGCAGGGAAACGGGGACACCTATGTGAAGTAGAACGTCTAAGAAAGTGCCTGTTTATGAGTAGCAGTACCCAGGAGTGGCGACATGGGGGGGGCAAGGGGGGGCTTTAGCCCCCCCTAGATTTTTGTTAGCCCCCCCGTCGGCAGCCAATCAATTTTTGCTTTCTCAATACCGTCGGCACTTGATGGATATCACCCGGTTTACATGATGTTTGAATGACAAAAATAATCGAGGAGAAAACTGCACTGGCTGGTTTATGGTTTTCTCAATGGCTTTTCTTCGGCAATTTTACTATCAAAGTGGCATTATATCCTGTCGCTTCCGTGAAAGCTGTGACTTAATTTCATGGTGCTCCTTCGCATGACCCACAATACCATCGTGCTCCTCTCTGTTGAAATCCCTGTTGCTGCTCATGCGAATGCCAATTCATGCGAAACGTGCAGAGATGCTTGATTTGGATCATGTTTTGGACCGTTTCAAGGAAATTTACCCTAACAACAGCAAAATCACGTTGTCATAAAAAAATTCTTTAATGAATTTTCTTCTTAAGGGATTCTCTTTGCGTTTCAAGACATTATTATTACCAATGAAGACATTTCGATCATGAGCACATTTTGCGTAATAAATTTTTCAAAAAGCACTTCTTGTCCTTTTCATCAACTATTTTTCAATAGCATTGTTCACCGCATAGCTTCCGACAAACAAATGTTTTAGAGAAAACCATCGATTAACTTCTTCCAACATGGATAGGAAGAAATATTCAACAATAGGCAATATTTGCGCATTAAGTTTCTTACAAGGCACAATTTGCCGAGAAAATCTCGTGGACTCCGACACAGGTTGGAAAATGGGGGCGGGGAGGGGGCAAGGGAGAATTTTGCACCCACAACAAACGATTTTGGAAAAATGCTCTATTGCTTGCTCTATATGCTTGCTTGCTCTTGGAAAAATGCTCTATATCGGTGCCCTTTCATTGGAGGTGCTGCTCAGGGGGCGTCGAGACTGGGGGGTTGTCACACCCACCCCAAAAGTACCTCAATAGGAAATTTCAGGTAAAATCCGCTCGGTGGAAGAAACGCTTTAGGTATTTCAGAGACCTTCCTGTCATAAAATCAATGAAGGATCAAGCAATCTTAGGTAAAATTGTGCCTCGTGTCCATTTCTCCTAAAGTTTCTCAGTAGAAGCGTCAACTGCAATTCACTATGAGCTCCAGATTTTTCTTAACATTCATAAGGCATGCTAAGATGGAGAGAGGGATCTAAATTTAAAAGTAACTGACAACCTGGTATTTTTCAAGACCACGGCGAAATTGTTGTTTTTATCTGCTGTAAAAATTTTTTGCAAAAAGACAATAATTTTCAATAGGATTAGGAGGATTGCTTTAGTGAAATCTGCTTAAAAGAGTGAATTTTCCAGGGAACTAGAAGCATCACAATTCGAAAATTTCCTGCCCCCTTCGGCGGCAACCATGTTGCCGCCTCAGGTAGTAACTATATATTTTGCCCGTCCCGATATAGAGATTTGACAAGACTATTAGAAAAGTCGGTTATTATCATACAGAGTTAGATTGATAAAATGTATTGCAGAGGTTTGTGACACCAGCTAAAAAGTTTCAGGCAATAATTTTTTAATCAGGTAAATTTGCATTCCAACCCCCCCCCCCCAACGAGGGCCCTGCCTGCTATATGGGGCAAATCGAATTTTTTTTTCTGTCGGCAATTTGACACATCCAGCGTCGGCAGTTACGGAGAATATAAACTTCGGCACCTTGAAGGTTTGTCTCTAGCGCCACCCCTGGCAGTACCCAATAAGTACTGTCCGCGTTATAACTGGCATGCCTGTTTTCACGAATAAGGTTGCACTACAGTACTTGTAGTTATAGAAAGGTTCTAGCCAGCAAAATTTAGAGGTCAATGTAAGTCATACATGTCAATGACATAGCTGGACAAGTTGTCAGAAATGCTCAATGGGCAGACATAGAAAACTGACTTTTTAAGACGTTCCCTATGTCAGCATATGAGGGTGGCGTATTTGTCCACCCGGTCCTGTATTAATCACTCACAATAAGTGATATTAATCATGTGATCAACGTAATGAGGCGATCACCAGGTGGTCTTTCCTGTCGAAACAATGGTTACTATGATTAATTTCTTTTTTTTTGTTATGGCAACCGTACGGTTCCTTTCCAATGTATTGAATCTATTAATTGCGCGCCCGTTTTTAAAATCAAATCAAACCAAATACGCCATGAAAGGTACATCAAAATTTCAGTTTTCTGAAGCTCAACGCAATCTTTTGGAAAAAGCCTACTCAGAAGGACTTATATCAACATCAGATAGGTTTGCTGCGGAATTTGAAGGACCGGATGATTTGTCAAACTTTCTGTTAGCACTGTAGATAAGATTTGTTTCAAAGCTTATGGCTAACTGTGAAACGTAAAAACAGTTGTCCTTGGTTTTGAGGAATAAGTCAGGAGCTCGTTGATCTCCAGTTATGATAGAAAATGAAAGAAAGACTAAAAATCCACAGAGAAAAGGTTAATGTACTGCTTTAAAGTAGGTGGCTAAAAATTTCAATGCAGAATGTATAGCGACCTTGACTAAGATGCGCTTTGCAACCAGCACCAATATACAGATGCGGTCAAAAGTCTGGTTCAAGTTTCACTTCTTCAAGCTTTTCTGGGTAACAAATGTAGCTGAAAATATTTGGCGACATATAACCTTGCAGAGTTGGCCTAATTGTGAAAAAGGTCGGTAAAAACGTACCGTAAATACTGGTGAATATGTCGAGATTTCAACAATACCGGTGTGTATATCGTTGGTGCAATCCAAAGTAAATGTTTCGACCGAAATCTTCATGAGTAATCTATATTATTTTTATTACACTTGGAGTTAAAGCTTTTGATAGTTTATATATTTATATATATACTATCCTCTTCTCACTGATGTCCTTATCCTCTTCTAACTGATGTCCTTATCCTCTTCTAACTGATGTCCTTACCCTCTTCTAACTGATGTAGCAATCCTATAGGCAAGCCACGGCCTTTGCTTTTTTAACTCCATAATAATGATTTTGAGAAATTTTCAGCGTCTTTTGTAATATTCTATAATTCCGTAAGCTAAATAAAAAAATACGTGTTTTCTAAAGCCTTGGCCAAACTGGGCAACACTGTTGCCCGACAATGTTGCTTGAAATTTTGTTGATTTTTTTGTCGTCGAAACATGGTGGCCAAACTGGGCAACATTGTCGTGCAGCATCTTTTGCTGATGTTGTCAAAACAGCGCGCCAAATTTAAATTGATAAGTGGTTTCAAAGTTTGGATAAGTATGCCTGAAAGAAAGCAAGCTGCAGCCACTGGAAGCTGATTTTGACACATCACAACACCATCGTGTTGCTTTTAGCACTCTTTGGTTGAGCACTCGTAGAAGCAGTAGCATTTGGCTGATTTGTTGTTTTCAAGAACTTGCACTTGGACTTGTTTCAGACGGGACCTTTATCTTCTTCCTCTGCATGGTTTACTTCCCATTCTGCAAAATCAACTTCGAAGCTTAAATTTTGACAGGCCATTTTAATTGAATGTGGCCAAACTGGACAACATAGGGCTGAGCAACAAATGTTGCCGAAAAATGTTTGAGCATGTTCAAACATTCGAGCAACAAATTTCTTAATGAATTTGTCGGCCGACATGGTGGCCAAACTGGACAACATTTGAGCAACATTATGAATTTGTGAATGTTGCCCGACAATGTTGCCCAGTTTGGCCAAGGCTTAACATTACAGAACATAACACTCCTCTTTCGACAACTCCTGAACACAATTGTATACTATATCCGAACATAGGTATACAAATTGGTTAAAGCAGTTCGTGTCTATATGCTACACAGTATATTGTTCCCAAAAATGTTATTCTCGTAATTTCTGACTCTGGAATGTACTGGCAACCGTGTTGCAGGCAGACGTTTCGGCACTTTTTCGAGGAGCTCCAAGTTTTTGCTCAGCAGCGAAAGTTCTTTTGAGCGCCACGCCAGGCACCACTGAAGTTCTACCTACATAGATAATAAGAACCCCAAATAAAAAAATTTCCTTCTGCCACTATTATCTTGACTCGCATTGTCATGACAATACAATAAAAACGACGAAAAAGTCTGTTAAAAAAATTTCGAGGCCAAATTCTTGGGGTATCAAACACCTGGTATTTTTTGCTCCAGGGATGGCATTGCCACTCCCAGGGTTGGCATTGCCATACCAATTTTGCTTGTAAAAGTGGGAAAGGAAAGATTTAGGTGCATTATCATATCCTAAAATATATTAAGAGAAAAGGACATGAAAAATTGCCTCTTTATGCTATTTTTAGAATATGAAAATGGTACCCAAATCTCTATTTAGGCATTTTTCTCTAAATAATTACTCTCTTTTGTATGAATATGAAATGTAGCTTTCTCCATTTTTTCAACAAACTGAAAAGTAATACGAAAAGATGTAATTGACAATCTTACCCCTTGGTGCTATTTTTAGAATGGGGTACTGGAACCCAGTCTTTGAATTTGGGTCTTACCTTCATAGTCTAGGCTCTAAGCACAGTATTTGACATGAATTTTGCAAATTGTGGTACCAGCATGAAAGTGGGTACACTGGGTACATTGGGGCAATTTGACACTGGGTACACTGGGGCATGAAAGTGGGTACACAGGGTACACTGGGGCAATTTGACACGTTGATAATGATGCTGAACAGACACAAGCTGAAAAGTGCCCCAAAGTGCTATTTTTAGACTGGGGTACTTGACCCCAGTCCTCAAGTTTGGATTTCATTCATACGTAGTTAACTAAAGTTTAAAATGAGCATGAATGTATAGGTTTAAACACAATTCTATACGATAAAAGTATAACAAAGAAACAATTAAGATATTACCTTTGATGCTATATTTAGAAAGGACTACTGGAGCCCAGGCCTCTATAAGTTTTTTTTATAAATCATTACTATTTTCTGTATGAATACGAAATAAAGTGAATATTAAATCTCTGGATTGCTACTACTCCTCACAGAGGCCTTCAAGAAAAGCATAAAA